TTAGCCCCTTTCATACAGCGATACCGGTAAATATCCGGAACATTTCCGGAACTACTTTACCGGTATATTAAAAAAAACGCTGTTCACACAGGCGAGGACGTTACGGAATTTTTCCGGAAAAGAGCATTCACACACCCATCGCAAAATGCCGGTAAATTCTGACATCATTAACCAGAAATGACCTCTAAACGGCTGCGCTTGTGTTTGTAAACATTTGACTACATTACAAACTCTTCGGATGGATCAGTATTGAGTACAACTCTAATGAAAACATAGGGTAACACTTTCGCATGTCGAGATGTTCATGATATGTGTGTGTGCTGGCGCTATGGGCGCTCACAGGCACACGCAAAGCTTGAAGGTAAACAAACAACGGATTATCATGAACATTTTATCGATAATTATTTACACAGCATTAAGAAGGAACATAGAAACATTATCTGACTAACATCTAGCAGCTAAAGGTGTCTGGAAAAAATATTCAAAGGCTTTTATTCTCATAAACCGCGCGCACGTGAATGCGTCTGACTGTTCTGATTGGCTAAAGCAGGTGTCTCACGTCAGCCCGTTCTAGACGTGCACGCGCTTATTACGGCAATCTTCCTTCTACATTCACACAGCGCAGCATTCCGGCAAATTACCGGTAATGTTACAACTTCTCTTTCCGGAAAATAGCCAGAACGAATTTACCGGTATTTTCAAAAAGGGCCTGTTCACACATACAACCTTTCCGGAAAATTGCCGGTAATTTTCCGGAAAGGTCTGTATGTGTGAAAGGGGCTATTGTATAGTTTTACAGCCGCGTCATCCGTATAAGGGTGTAATGATTAACCGGTTTCACTATTAACCGCGCTTTAATTCGTCATGGTTAATAATCATAAAGGCTTCTTAAAACCGCGTTTCTGCACGGATCAAAACTGCATGAACTAAACAAAGTTATGCCAACTGTGTGCTAGTTTAAATTTCCAAGCTTGTACACCGAGACTAATAACCACGCACACTGGATTAACTTTGACTGAGGCTATAACTTAGGCAAGTTCGTTATTGCCAATTGAGGAACGCGCAAGCAAAGCAACACACTCACGCTTTAGAGCAGCACCTAATGTGACGAAGCTTCTGTGACCACGGGAAATGCAAACGGCTGAAGTTTAAGGAAGACGCAATGAAAGTGCACATGTTTTCAAACCCACCTAAAGTTACAAACAATGACGGCGATGAGAGTGATCATGTGGTGAATGTTGATCCGGCAGCCGAGATCAATCGAGTGTTTCGGAGAGAGTGCTGAAAGACTTCGTAGATCAGCTGTTGTTAATGGCCCGAGTCTCGATACTTTGTATTCACTGCGTGTTCAGCGCAAATGGCTGCTAAATGTAAAATCTCTGTTGCTCATTCGCAAAGAGAAGATCAAGGCTCTTGTGTTAAGCCCAATGACCCTTACATCCAAAAATAGAGCAAGGGTGATCAGGGTGAGAGTCAACCGCTTTGACTCATACGCTGAAAATGGCGGACGTGAAACAACAAACTGAGGATATGGTAATGCGCGCATGTCTATTAATATTGGTGGGCCGAGGGACTCCAATCCTACGTCAAGGAGTAGTCGATTTCAAAACCGCTACAATTGGTCCACGTTTTTATGTTGGCAAATTGAAAAAAAGGACTGGGTGTGTTTATATCACCCCAATATGACGGTCTATACACTATACCCTCACACGTCTGTCCAAACAGCTTGAAAAGTAGATTTTTCACCATAGGTGCCCTTTAAAATCACCATTTACACTTTTTATCAACCACATAAATGTAAAATGAAGAAATAAAGAAATAAATAGTACTCCAAGTAGTATATTAGACACATTTATAATATCATTTTTAATATATTAACTGTATTAAAGAGACTGTAGAGCAGGGGTGCTCAACCCTGTTCCTCGACATCTACCTTCCTGCAGAATTTCCCTTCAACCTTAATCAAACACAACTAAACCAACTTGAAGGAGCAATTGGTAATTAAAGTCAGGTGTGTTTGCTGAAATCTACAGGAAGGTAAATCTCCAGGAACAGGGTTGAGCACCCATGCAGTAGAGGTACCTTTAACGTTTCAGGATTGGAGTCCTTCAAACAAGGATGAGCATTGGAGTTCCAAAAGATTCAAAATCACCTGCTGTAAATCGCACTTGCATTATTAAGAGCTGTATGTGCTTCCCTATACGTACAGCAGTTTGCACAAATAGATACATTAACACTTTTAGCCAGGTTTACTGTCAAATCTGTTTTTCACTTTAATGGCTACCACGTGAAATATCTTTACAACAAACATATAATCAGACAGACACATTAAAAGACAAACAAACCTCCAAGATAATGAGTTTAATAGTTATCAACGAATGCCATTATAAATAAAGTTGATGTACGCATTATAAAAGATGGCTGTTAATAAATATTGACGTAAGCAGAGACGGGCTTTAAGGAACGTGCTTCCCTGCAGACCTGTACATGTGCTTACTGACAATAGACTTCAGGAAAATGAGTGCTGTGATAAATTAAATGACTCAGCGTTAACGAGAGCTACGCTCCACGTGTTAAATCTCCAGCATCAACTCGCTTAATCATGCGGCACAAAATTCTTCCAATTGCTCATGTTAAAAAAAAAAGAAAATGCTATGGCCAGATACATGTAAACATTATTTGTAACATAATGTGAAGGTGTAGACCAAGGGTTACCAAATGTGGTCATGGAGGGCTGGTGTCCTGCAGAGTTTATCTCCAACCCTAATCAAACACACCTTTAGATTTCTCCAAGACTGAGGCTGTATCCAAAATCGCCCTCTATGCCGTTAAACCCCACAACATACTTCAATTTAAGTTCATTTGAGGCCAAAAAGATCCTCATAAAGTCTGAGTGATGATATACTATTTTTGAACGTTCAGACGCTGCGGTAGGTAGGGTTGCAAAGCTGTCACACCGCTCAAGTGGACTCCTAAACACAACAACAATGGCGACTGAGAGAAATGTACAGTTCCATACAATTATGGAGCAAACCGCCTTGACACACCACATCGCTTTTTACTTGCCATGGACAGAAAGTGATTTGAACCATTTTTAGAACTTTATCAGACATTGATCAATGCTGTTGTGCTTATCGTTCGGTGTGTAACTCAGAATTCGAACACAAATATGAATACAAAGCATGTCAAAAAACGTAGAGTTCCAGGAAACATCCATCGATTCCATAATCATCACAGACCAATAGTAGCTCTAAGGTGTTTAGGACCAAAGCTAACTCCCCCAAAAAGTTTGCTTTGATGACTGGTTTCAGACTTCTTAACAGACTCAAAACAAAATTTGTTGTGGCTGTATTTTCTTTCTAAATTACGTAATTTCAGTTAATTCCTTTTGAAGTTTACCAAGGCCTTAAACAGACACTATTTGAGGGAGCAGCCATTTTTGGTAGCGTCCAAAACCATATTGTTTGCTCAATCAATGCCACTATGCTCTGCAATAACAAGAGTACAATTGAGAAAGGCTGTGTCTGAAATCGCACACTTCCATACTATAAAAAGAGTATGCGAGCCAAGTAACATGACAGAATTCATACAATTCGAAAAACAGTATGTCAGAAGTATCCGAATGACCTACTACTTCAGGCGAGATTCTGAAGTGTGCATCTAATAGATGCTATTCTATCCCATAATGCACCGCAAGAGAATTCATGAATGGGAGTGAAGCGATGCAACTGACAAGGGTAGGTCACGTAATCATGACAAAATGGCGGCTGTAGTACGTCCGAGTTCTATTCATACTTCTCACATTCAGAACGTTCTAAGGGCCAAGTAGTTCATTTAAATTCAAATGCAGTACCTACTGAGTAGTAGGCGATTTCGGACATAGCCGTACACTCAACAGCTTGAGAATACCCATAATGCACTGTGAGAATTCACACTTCGAATTAATTTCCACAAGATGGCGTCCATAGGGCAATCCTATCTGTGTACCTTTTTAAATAAAATAATATTTAATTGTTGAATTGGCATTTTAAAATGAAACGTTATAAAAATGTATTTGTTTCATTGCTCATAGACAGCATGCTAAGTACTAAATAACTATCAGAGAGTCAACATTTTTATTTTAATTTCTTCATTTTATTTTATCAACCAGCAAAGCACAAACTAAACCACATCCCTTCTGTTCCCCCCGTGCTCCAATTCACTTAGTCATTCTCATTCACTCCTTTAAGTGGACTTTTTAGTGAACTAATGTAAGTCATAGTGAATGAGCCTACGGGGCGATTTTTAGATACAGCCAACAATTAGCTTGTTCCGTTGTGTTTGAAAAGGTTGCTGCTAAATTCTGCAGGACACCGACCCTCCAGGGCCAACCATGTTGACCCCTGTTGTAGACAAAAGCTGCGTCCCAAATGGCACACTATACACTATGTACTTATGCACTTACACACTCAAAAGGATAGCATATTTACGTAGTGTCATCCCAAATTAAACACTGTTTTTTTACTAAGCGGAAATTCAAACCGTTTCCCTAATGACGTCTGTTGGTCGCCAAATCAGTGAAATAAACGACCGAATTATCAAATAATACCTGCCGTGAGTATAACCGCGTTCACCATCGGGAGGCGCTGTAATCACTCTCGTAGGAGAATTTTGCTTTCACCATCCAAAATAAATAGTTATCCAACATGTGCGCCCGATAGCTCCGCCTCTTCCGCTACGTGAGCAAACTTGCGGTCGTTGTGTGCGTGAAGTGTCCATCATTCCACACTTCATTTTAGCGGCTGAATGAGTGCATCATCCGGGTAATTAAAGTGCTCTTATTATTTTTAGAGTTTTCAGTGTGAACACACTACTTACACTATTTATACTACAAAATGGCGTAGAATAGTGCATGCGATTTGGGACGCAGCTACAGACTTTTATACTACATACAGAAATCAGATTCTGTTAACCCATTTACTGTATATTTCAGCATTTGTCCTCCATTTACAAGACAAAGTTGTGATACATCATTTGGATCTTTCTGTGTTTTATTGAGAATAGCTCTGCTGCCATAGTGTGTAGCATACACCAGCTTTGCATGTATTACAAAGAACTTATCAAATTATGTACAACATGTTATGTCTTAAATGACATTTTGTATAGAAATGTGCTGGCACGGATAGCACAGGCACTGAGATGTATGCCCCATAGGGGCAGGAGTATTATAAGAGTGCTTGTAATGAGATGTGACCTCATTTTCGCTCCCTGCGTTTGCCACATGGCACATGATAATCATTACATTTTGAACTGAATAACCGTTTTATGTATATTGCGCTGTTTGTGTCAGTTACAGAGGTAATATAGTCTTTCAGCAACAGCAGTCCACTATAAAGCTCTACTATAAAACCGCTATTGTGTTATTACAACAGACTCTTTATGCATGGATTGTTTTCTAAGTTGGATTTAGGATACATTTACTAAACAGCAACATACTAAAAACTGAAAGGTTTTCCCTTTTGTTTTAGAAAAGCGCAGCTTTCACAAAACCATGTTGTATACTTATATCTGCATGCCAAGCCAGGCATGATAACATTATAAGGGGCATGTGCATATATGTGACCCTGGACCACAAAATCTGAAAGTCTTTAATAAATAAAAAAGTCATATTTGTCGAAGTAGTCAACAAATAAACTGTGACTATGATTTAAAATATTTCTTTTATGCCAAAAAGCATTATTAGGATATTAAGTCAAGATTAAGTAAATATATCAAAACTTAAATAATAATATGCTGTGCCAAGGACCTAATTTGAACTTATTTTTTTGAAACCTCAGCTTCCAAATTTTCAATAGCTTTATCTCTGTTAAATATTCGCCTATCATAACAAACCATACATCAATGGAAAGCTTACCTATACAACTTTTAGAAGTTACATACATCTCATTGTCATAAAATTGGCCCTTTTGTGGTCCATGGTCGCATGAATTATTTCAGTCAAATTGTTATTCAAATATTCGTGCATACCTATATATACATATAACTGCATGTTTACGTGGTTAACACAGTGACAATAACAATATAATTTTCTAAAAAATGTGTTTTTAGTGATGTTGAACCCTAGGGGTTCATTTACACCAGGGGGTTCAGCTCTTCTCATGGAAGGTCCCCATTTTAACACACTTAACCAGCTAGTTATGGTTTTCAGGAACACTAGAAACATCCCGACAGCTGTGCTGGAGTTAAACTTTGCAGGATAGTGGGCCTTTAGCAGCAGGACTGGACACCCCTAGTTTAGGTTTCTATCTCATTAGTTTCTCGACAGTGTTGGCCAAATGTTGACAATGCAACTTTTGCCATCTTCAAAGAAAAATGGCACAAACTCTAGCCTGTAAACTCTTGCTTATTCTTCAACGTTCACTGAGGTAAAACAGACATTAAGGCAAGAACTTCACATCTCAGTGTCTTCTATGGGGCCTGGTTCCTCTAATGTCTCCAGTCGGCGCATACAGGCGTCCATGATCTTCTTGCGGGGTCCCAAGGGGATGTGAATGCCCTTAAGGTCATTGTCTGAGCAGAGTAACAGGGCATCCAGGTCGATCTTCTCTCTTTTTAATATAGGAATAAACTCATTCATGCTTTGCGTGGCCAGGAACACTTCTAGTGGACTAGTGTCGGGCTCATCATCATCATCCAGACCCAACTCCACCTCATCCCAAGGCAGCTCCTGAATGTTCCTCTCCTGCAAGCTATGGGCACTTCCAATGCTGTCGTCATCCAGACTGGGATGCATTCGATTTTGGAGACGCACATTATCGACTCGTTCACTGCCGGTCAGGCTGCCTTCATCTCTGCTACCAATGCCAAAAAGTCCACCGCTCACATAGTTGCGACGGAAAACCATTGTGCCCAGGCCAGGCCGGTTGAAGAGCGAGTCGTGGCCTGAGTCAGTGCTGATCTCGGAGTAGTCCACATCTTGACCATGCAGGTCCGGTTCACTGATGGCACGTGAGATGGCATCCTCGTTGTCACTGGGGAACATGTCACGTATGTTGCGACGAGACCGGTCTTTAGGGTTCACATACGTACCTTGCTTCAGAAACATGACGTCGTTGCCTAGCTGTAAACCAGACAAGGAGCGCACACTTTTCCGGCCATCTTCATAAATCTTGAATGTCCCGTCACCTTGCTTTTTCTTCTCAAGCTTCTTCTGGATTTTAGTTTTGCCCCTGGCTGTGGCATGGATAGTAGCCTAGAACAATAAATTGATAAAAGAAACAACAACACAAATTCAGCAATTGAGGCTTGTAACTAGAAGTGCTCAGAAATTAAAGTTCTGGATAGAAACCGAAATCGATGCACTGTACCGCTCTTGCACTTTGATCTGGGCAGAAACAAGCTTTGCAAGCCATTGAAATGAATGGGTTTCATGGCACAACACTTTCAATGTCCATTGTAAAAATAATGTGTGCCAGAAAATTTGGTGCATCCCTACTAGTTACTAAACACAGGACAAACAACAGGACAAAATCTAACCTGGGAGTATGGCACATTAGTGGCAGTGTTGAAGTGGTGTAACTTGCGACTCAAGGTGCTGCTGGCGTAGCTGGAGAAGCTCATGGCATCAGAAACTGATGCTTCCGTTGCCTCTCGCTGAAACTTCCGCTCCATGCGCCGCCGGTGCCTCTGCTGCAGTTTCACACATTCCTTGATGCGCCGTTCGGCATCCCGGAAGGCCCGGTCCTTCAGTTTGCTTACTAGCTTTGGATTGAGGGCTGTCTGCTTGGCCGCGATAGAGTCCAGATAGCGTACGCAATCCATGTGGTTCTTGGTGGCAGCCATGTCCAAAGGCGTGTGGTAGTCGTTGTCCAGGCACCACACGTTGGCACCAAAGGACACCAGGAAGGACAGGCAGTTGAGATGGCCATTGGAGGCAGCCAGGTGAAGTGGCGTGTTTCCCCATATGTCACACTTATCTGGGTTCCCCCTGAAAGTAATAGATCCATGACAGGTCCATGTCAGACATGGCATTTAACAGTGAAACATCTACTCAGAGCTGATATGATCTAAGTTATATTTAATACATAACATGGCAACACAATTCACAAGTTCATGTGCTAGGTGAAACTGGACACAGCTCGTCTCAGCTGACATTATCACTCGTATTATATCCCCAAAATAGCTGGGACCACGCTGGCAATCCCATGATTTTTTGATTATGTTTTCAGCACAGGCTCGTGATCCGCGAAGGCCGGTAAATAATGCATGAATCTATGAAATGAAAACTTGCCGTGTGTAAAATCCTCAAATGTCATAAGAAGGGCAAACAGGTGTGGTCTATAACCACCCATACGATCTCATAAAGCAAATGTTACTCTCTGTTTTCTCATTTAAGCCAGTAATCCAGGATCATCTCTGTTAATGCTGATCCCGGGCACTGGATCTGTAATATGATCGGCGTCTGAATAAGAGGTCACTCTCTGGGTGTCTTCTTACTAGCAGGAATGGTAGAGTTGCGCAGGTGATGTAACACCAAATTCCTGCGATCGGAACGTAACCGTAGGCTGCCTCAAGAAAGAAACTCATTTATGAACTAATGGATTGGGTAACACTTTATTTTAATGGTCCATTTGAGTATCAGTAGACTGTCTGTTTAATATCTGCTGATACTGCTACTTCAACAGACATTTAACTGACTATAAGAAAACTTTGCAAATACATGTCAACTTACACTAACCCCCTAACTCCAACCTAACAGTCTACTTATTACCTAATGAGAATTAGTTGGCATATAGATGCAATGTAACTTAAATTCAACAAATGGACCATCAAAATAAAATGACCATGGATTGATAATCTGACACTTGAAGTTATGAATGCTTTTAAAAATGCTGGGTTGTTTTAACCCAAATTTGAGTCACTTATGGACAAACAACACACCATTAGGTTAACACACACACACACACACACACACACACACACATATATATATATATATATATATATATATATATATATATATATATATATATATATATATATATATATATATATTAGGGATGCCACGTTTCTCAATATAATATTGAAGCGTACGTTACGACCTCCACGGTTGAATACGCGCTTGTGAATTGCGGTTTTCTCGGTTTTGCGTTTAAATAATTTAAGTGCGTTTTATATCTCCCCGAATTGACTATGTGCCTGTAAGTCCATTAGCTGAGATGAGGAAACTCCTCCCCGTGAGTAAATATCCAATCAACTAGGCTCTAAAGTTAGGGGGCGCTTGACCATCATTCCACACTTTAACATTGCGAGCGGCGTGAAGTGAGGCTAAGACAACAGCTTGTAAGCACCGGCGAAGTGAGGCAACAGTACGAGAAAACACCGGCATCTTTCAAATCTGCGGTGTAAGGACATTTTGTTTTTTCCGGTTAGTATAATGCCAATAAAAGAAAAAACTGTGAACAAAAAATAACTGTGCAAGCATTGTTTTACACGTATAACCATGACTGCACATCTGCAGCGCCATCACCCAGCAATATCACTGTCTTAGGCAGGATAGCATAGAAGGTAATAAAGTCCTCCAAATAGCAACAATCCCTCGCTGAATCTTTCAACCAAACATACCCAACTGGTTCCGAGAGACACATAAAAATAACAATGGCAGTGCGGCTGCTTATTGCTAAAGATGTGCAGCCATTTTCAGTAATTGGAGATGTGGGCTTTTGTCATTTTATAAAAACACTCGGTAACACTTTATAATAACTACACACTATAAATCATTTGTTAAGCATTAGCAAATAGTGAACTCATTATCTGTTAAGAATTAACTCTACATTAATAAATGTTACTAAGCAGTTTATAACTGCAGCTACAAATGCTCTATTCTTGACTTATAAGCACCTATATAATGTGTTTAATGATTGTATTTTTATATTTAGTTAATGATTTATTTTTCATTACTAAATTAAGTATCAAATTATTTACAAACCGTTTGTATTTAAGAGTAGTTGAGGGTTTTTAGGATAATTCAGAATGAGTTAGTAAATGATTAATAAAATATTGAAATCAACATTTATAATTCTTATTATTCAGGCATATACTAATATTTAACTAATATGTTAATAAATGTGTTAATAAATGCTTTATTATCTCAATCTCAACTTAACAGTTTTGTGACCTAATCTAAAGTGAGGACTATTCATGCTTTATAAATCCCTTATAAATGACAAATAAAGGCTCAGAATCAAATGAACGATAATCTGTGCAATCTTATCTAAAAAGTAAAATTACTGTAAAGTTTAAATATTGCCAAATAACAGGAGTGTCAAAATATGACATCCAACTGGATAAAACAACAACAATATAATAATTAAACAATAAAATAAGATGCAATATTTAAACTCTATAGTGATTTTATTTTAGATAAGGTTGCAAAAATGTATTTTTCATTTGAAGTACAGTTTCATTTGTGTATCTTTAAATGAACAGAAATGAATAATGTCATTCTTCCTGTTTAGAATTTAACTGAGCCTTTATTTGTCACATTATAAGGGATTTATAAAGCATGAATAGTCCTCACTTTAGATTAGGTCACAAAACTGCATAATGTTGAGTTAATAAAGCATTTATTAACATATATAGTAACCATTGCTATATGCCTGAACAATAAGACATATAAACTTTTATTTCAATAGTTTATTAATCATAATTCATTCAAAACCCTCAACTACTCTTAAATACAAATGGTTTGTAAATAATTTGATACTTAATTTAGTAATAAAAATAAATCATTAACTAAGTATAAAAAACAATCATTAAACACATTATATAGGTGCTTATAAGTCAAGAATAGAGCATTTGTAGCTGCAGTTATAAACTGCTTACTAAAGCTTATTAGAGTTAATGCTTAACAGATAATGAGTTCACTATTTGCTAATGCTTAATAAATGATTTATAGTGTGTAGTTATTATAAAGTGTTACCAAACACTCGATCCTTGTTACAGACTAAAGTCTTGCATTTTTTTCAGCACCAAGAAAATGAAGATGGTTTATTTATGTTTACTTATGTACAAATATGTTGATTTGAAATGGCCAATTTATCTTTATTAACTTCGCATGTATGTTTATTTTCAAAATGTAGGATTTTATGTGTTCCCCAGTTTGTATATGGGCTACCAGCAGCTGTGAGATTTCAGTGAAAAAATTATACAATACACTAGAAACTAGTGTACTTTCCTTGGCTTTTAAGTAAAACAAAAAAGTATTGCAATAAATAGTCTTTATTATTTTCTCCTTAACCTCTTACTTTTCCTATTGCCTATAGAAAAAAAAAGTAAGTGTCAAGCCATGAGAACTGTTAAAAAACCAAGGTATGTATTGAACCGTGGGTTAACTGTATTGTTGCATCCTTTATATCCTATATATATATATATATATATATATATATTTTTTTTTTTTTTTTTTTTTTTTTACTATTTAAGCAGTTTGGTTTTTGTCCATGTTTGGCCCAAATCTGGTTTGAAAAATATCAGCTAATAGCTATTAGCACACTATTAGTCAAATCTGTTGTGTTGGAATACAAATGCATAAAGATTATAACTGTTCTTATTTTACGCGATTTTCCATATGACTATAAGATGCCTTATGCATATGATTACTGGAACACTTGAAACTAAACTTAGAATAACCCTAGTTATACAATCATTTTATACAGGGTGACTTAAACTGCAATGGAATTTGGTGCATTTAGAGTTAGAGTTAACTTCTTCTTCTTATAATGAACTTTATTTAAAATATACAGCTGAAGTCAGAATTATTAGCCCCCCTTTGAATTTTTTTTTCTTTTTAAAATATTTCCCAAATGACTTTTAACAGAGCAAGGACATTTTCACAGTGTGTCTGATAATATATTTCTTCTGGGGAAAGTCCTATTTGTTTTATGTCGGCCAGAATAAAAGCAGTTATACATTTTTTAAAAGCCATTTTAAGGACAAAATTATTAGCCCCTTTAGTCTAATTTGTTTATCTATAGTCTACAGAACAAACCATCTTTATACAATAACTTGCCTAATTACCCAAACCTGCCTAGTTAACCTAATTAACCTAGTTAAGCCTTTAAATGTCACTTTAAGCTTTATGAAAGTGTCTTGAAAATAATCTAGTCAAATATTATTTACTGTCATCATGGCAAAGACAAAACAAATCAGTTATTATATATGAGTTATTAAAACTATTATGTTTAGAAATGTGTAAAAAACATCAGAAATTGGGGAAAAAATAAACAGGGGGGCTAGTAATTCTGACTTCAACTGTAAAGTCATGCAATATAGTGAAAATGTGCGGCTGTGTCTTTCTGCGTTCTGCAACTATTGCTAGCTGAGCCTGATGAATATTTGATGGCTGACAGGTGAAGCCTTGCAGTGGTGCATTATGGATGAGAAAAGCTGCAAGGTTTTCACAGTTAGCAAAGGGAACTGTGTGTGCTGTACTGGATCAAGCCAGAATTTGGATTATGACCCACTAACCTGCCTGACCTTGATTTTTGGCATGCCACCACATATATTTATCATATACATTTACTGCCCTATAAAAGAGACTCTTATCCCATGCTTTATAATCAGACGCCACTGCAGTTGTCTAGCATTGTGAGTTACGAACTGTCATTTTCACCCCACTAATACTGTCAGACCATAGGAAATATGGCATTTTTAAAATCACTGGAACAGGAGTATTATATAATAGCATATGCTATCTCCTAACAATGACTGCTATATGATCCCAACCACCCATAAATGCCTATTTTTACTGTCGGTTCTATTTTTACCATCACTTTATCATCATTACTTTTTAACGACTTCTAATAGCTGATCCACGATGAGCCAGATTTGGTTCTCATGTACCGAACGACCTCTCTAGAAACCCATTTCTGCAAAGGTATCGTGGGAAACCATGCTTCAGGGATCCATCAGTGCCATTGACTTAATCACTACAGAGAAGAAACACCCAAATGAGGGGATTAATTGCTGAATCCCTATGTGTACACGAGCATAAGTTGGCTCTAAGCATAGAAATGCGATGCTTGCTTTGCTTTATGTGAAGGCGATCACACGATAGCGAGCGAGCTTTCATCGCTTAAACTGTCCGGTTACCCATTCAGGACTTTAAGGGGAGCGGGAGAACTTCTGACAATTAAGAGCTTTTGTGAAGGGCCTGTAGGTCCGCTGAGGAAATCAGGTCAGCTCCGATGAAAGCTTTTGTGTGTTGGCTTTTATCTGTGCTCTATCATCAGCAATAACAGAGCGGGATGTGGGACTGTTAATGCATTGTTGGTCCTAAAACAACTCAAATGACACTGCGAGCAAATGAGGGCCACAACAAAGCAGCACATTCAGTACTGTATAGATGCCTTAAAGTGGATTGATGGTATACATTTTTAAACAGTTCATGAATTAGCAGGCAATCGAACCTATGACCTTGCTGCTGCTAGCAGCAGGCTTTTCAGTAAGCTACCGGGACATATACAAATACTCACATATGTATGCAAAGTAGTAGCCTGCATCTTTCATTATGCAACCAAATGCATTTGTTTTGTTCATCATATCTGACTCATGACAATTTAAAAAGGCTTTACTACATATAAAGCCAAAGGAATTGGTTATTGTCATTGAACCAAAGTTCAATGAAGAAGACAGTTTTTAACAATGTATTAATCTTTGGTTGCTTAGATGGGAATCAATCAATGTGCCAAACAGATACGGTTACTGTATTAAAACTTAATTAACTTTTGCAAGGAAAGGGACATTTTAACATTCAAAAACATTCAGATTTGTTGAACAGAAAACAACTGCACTTTAGCAAAGTTCAATCTACGCTGATTTACTTTACAATTAGAAAGAAAATTGTTTTACTTAACTAAAAATGATTACAAACTTTTGTAGACTTCTAAAGAGTAGATTATATACAGTGTATACAGTTAAAGTCAGAATTATTAGTTCCCCTTTGAATTTGTTTTCTTTTTTAAAATATTTCCCAATGATGTTTAACAGAGCAAGGAAATTTTCACAGTATGTCTGATAATATTTTTTCTTCAGCAGAAAGTCTTTTTTGTTTTATTTCGGCTAGACTAAAAGCAGTTTTTAATTTTTTTAAAAACCACTTTAAGGACAAAATTATTAGCCCCATTAAGCTATTTTTTTCTACAGAACAAACCATCGTTCTACAATAACTTGTCTTATTACCCTAACCTGCCTAGTTAACCTAGTTAAGCCTTTAAATGTCACTTTAAGCTGTATAGAAGTGTCTTGAAAAATATCTAGTCAAACATTATTTACCGTCATCATGGCAAAGATAAAATAAATCAGTTAGAAATGAGTTATTAAAACTAATATGGTTAGAAATGTGCTGAAAAATTCTTTTCTCCGTTAAACAGAAATTTGGGAAAAATTTAACATTTTTAGGGGGGCTAAAAAATCTGACTTCAACTGTATGTATGCAAAATAGTAGCCTACAAGGTTTTCATGTTTCATGATGCAACCAAATGCATTTGTTTTGTTCATCGTATCTGACTCTCTTCCTTTCCCATTACAATTAAAATGATGTAGTCGTTTAACATTAAAAACAACCAAAGGTTTTTAATGATTTCTTTTTGTAAGTAATCTTTAGTTGTACAAATGAGAATCAATCAATGTGCCAAACAGACATGGCTACTACAAATGTACTGTAATAAAACTAATTTTCGCAAGGAAAGGGACATTTTAACAGAAGAACAAACAACAAACAACCGCACTTGTACAAAGTTCAGTCTGATTAGGAAAAAACTCTTTTAATTTAGTTAAAAGATAGAAATGAATACAGACTTTTACAAAAAAATTAAAAATAAATTAGAAATTCACAATTTCTGTTTAACGGAGAGAAGGTTTTTTCAACACATTTCTAATCATAATAATTTTATTAACTCATTTCTAATAACTGATTTATTTTATCTTTGTCATGATGACAGTAAATAATATTTGACTATTTGCAAGACACTTCTATACAGCTTAAATTGACATTTAAAGGCTTAACTAGGTTAGTTAGGTTAACTTGGCAGGTTAGGGTAATTAGGCAAGTTATTGTATAACGATGGTTTGTTCTGTAGACTATTGGAAAAATATATATAGCTTAAAGGGGCTAATAATTTTGTCCTTAAAATTGTGTTTAAAAACTTAAAAACTGCTTTTATTCTAGCCGAAATAAAACAAATAAGACTTTCTCCAGAAGAAATAATATTGTCTGACATACTGTGAAAATTTCCCTGCTCTGTTAAACATCATTTGGGAGTATTAAAAAAAAGGGGGAAAAAATTCTTACAGTTAAACTTACCATGTATGGCATTATGTTAATAGGGCCACACTTTGAGCAACACCACCATAAACATCGTGAGAACTGGAATAAGGAAGTAAACTGGAGAACAGCAAGTGCCTCACACACTATTAATCAAATCCTCATCCTTCATGACACCACTATTATGAAGTGACGACCAGGGCTCGTTCCTGCGTAATGCTGTCTTGCATGAAGCGTAAACATGCCGGCTAAACACCTGAAAGATCAACAGTTTGTGGTTTTAATGAAAAGAGCGATAGGAGGCTGGGTCTTACCCTCTCCCTGCGATCAGCCGCAGCGCGTCCAGGTTGCCGTGGTACGCGGCCCATAGGGTCGGTGTCATGCCATCTTCATCCGGCGCATTCAGGTCCTTCCGCGTCGCTTCTTTAAGCAGGTCGAGGTAGCCATCCCGAGCTGCCTTGTGGTATTTGTCATTCATGGTGATCTCGAACCTCAGCCTCCATCACTCTCTCGCGGGCGCTGAGCATCAGGTTTGGAGCCCCGAGCGGTGCGCGCGCGTCAGGCGCCTGGAGTTTCCAAGGAGACTCGGACGCGCCGCTACCGCGAAGGCGTGGCTTCAGCTCTGAGCAAACAAACACAATCTGTTCCCCTGAAGAGACTCAAAATAATGGCGTTTGAGGGAAGAAAAACTTTTAAAAGTACTTAAAGAGTCCATATAAACATAAAGATTCAAATGCAATTCATTAACAAAGCATTGTAAATTCTATAATATATGTAGTACCGCGTGATATATTTTACTATAGTTCAAAACACTATAATATTTAATTCAAGAGTCTAGTAAAATACTAAAATGCTGTAGACTTTTGTAGTAAATACTATAGTTTTTTGAACTATAGTAAAGTGTATTATGTTGTACTCTGTATATATTATAGTATTTACAATGCTTACAACGGATGACAACTACAGTAAACTGATAAACTTCAATATTGTAGTATACTTTACTACAGTAAATGTTGGTGTATTGAAGTAATATGTGCAATTCTACATTGTTAGGTCGTTAAAACTAGAGTATTAGGTGATTTCTTTGATGTTGTGTGACCATAGCATTTGTCGAATTCCTACAGCAGATTAATTCAAGTGTTTTACTATAGTATTGTTCGTAAACAATAATATATTTACTATAAGCTACTATAGAACTACTTTTAAATGTGCGAAGAAATGTTCATGTGTTATAAAAAGCTTACATTTAAATAAAGGCAAGTCACCTTTATTTCTATCTACAGCTGATAGATATTTATATAAGAATATAAAGGCAAATAATAAAAGTCAGTTAAGAACAATCGCTAACACTTTACAGTACTGGTGCACTGATTAAAAAATGCTTAACTAATACACAGATAGTTAACTAAATAACCCAGCCATTTGTTAATGAATACTGCATCCGCAACAAATGAACATTCTGTGATCTATAAGTAACCCTTAAATTGAATTCATTAATTCCCTAATAACATATCAGATTATCTAATAATGTAAATTCTTGTTCATTTCACCAATATTCCAAGATATGTACTTCATCTTCCAGTTGTCTGCTCGAGTCAATTATTAGCTAATGATTTGTAAAGGGATCGTTATGTTGTGACTCGTTGAAGCACATGTGCTGTTAACTAATTGTTAAGTAATATTATGGTTATTGATTTTGAATGAGGTATTCTGTCAGTCACGTGCCTCAACCAGTAAAGTCCTAACACCGTCTCTTTGCAAATGATTAGCTAATGATGACTTAAACAAGATAACAATGCTGCTGAAATGCATGGCTTTGGCTACTTGAGGTAATTAGCAAATTAATTTACCCTGTTAAAACAATTCAGGGTTGTAATGACCCAACATTGATGACAACCCAACATTTTAGAGTGTATATTACATATTATTAAGGATTAATTTAACTATTAATACCTCAAGTAGCCAACTATTAATAGTTCATAAATTAATGAATCCATTATTAATAATCATTAGCAATCATTAATAAATGGTCGAGTCATACGCTATATCTCATGATCTATCTATTTATTTTGTATTATTTGATGCATAATTGTTTACCTATAATGTACAGTTTTTTCAAAAATATTGTTATTGTCATTATTGTGGGGTGTAAAGTGTAGTTCTAGATATATTAAAACTGATTCAGTTTGCTTTAATGCAAATGTCACTGTTGAAGGTCCATCCACTGCTTAAAATGTCACTCAAAGATTTTAGGTGAGTATAGTTGTAGTATCAGTTTTCATACAGTACGTTAAAATATGCTAATAAAACATCTAAGCTGAGAACATCTGTGAAAAATGTGCAAGCAAATGTTTGAGTTCCCTTTACTTGTTGGTTTCTACTGTGCTTAAATTGTTTTAGAACTTAAATGGAGTAAATTCACTGTACTCAGATATTAGTTTTTTTAACTTAAATGGTATTAGGGCAATTGCTGTTTTTTGTGTATCAATAGAATAAGTTCACAGTACTTGAATATTCATTTATAAACTTAAAAGGTTTTAAGGCAATTGTTTGTTTTGTGAACTCAAATGGAGTAAGTATAAGGTACTCGAATATTAGTTTTTCAACTTAAAAGGGTTTTAAGGCAATTGTTTGCTTGTTTTGTGTACTCAAATTAAGTAAGTTCACAGTACTCAAATATTCATTTATGCACTTAAAAGGTTTTAAGGCAGTTGTTTGTTTTGTGTGCTCAAATGAAGTTCACTGTACTCAAATATTCATTTATAAACTTAAAAGGTTTTAAGGCAATTGTTTCTTTTGTGAACTCAAATGGAGTAAGTTTACGGTACTCGAATATTAGTTTTTCAACCTAAAAGGGTTTTAAGGCAATTGTATGTTTGTTTTGTGACCTCAAATGAAGTAAGTTCACAGTACTCAAATATTCATTTATGGACTTAAAAGGTTTTAAGGCAATTGTTTGTTTTGTGAACTTAAATGGAGTAAGTTTACAGTACTCAAATATTAGTTTTTCAACTTAAAAGTTTTTAAGGCAATTGTTTGTTTGTTTTGTGTACTCAAATGGAGTAAGTTTAAGGTACTTGAATATTAGTTTTTCAACTTAAAAGGTTTTAAGGCAATTGTTTGTTTGTTTTGTGTACTCAAATGAAGTAAGTTCACTGTACTCAAATATTCATTTATAAACTTAAAAGGTTTTAAGGCAATTGTTTGTTTTGTGAACTCAAATGGAGTAAGTTTAAGGTACTCGAATATTAGTTTTTCAACTTAAAAGGGTTTTAAGGCAACTGTTTCTTTTGTGAACTCAAATGAAGTAAGTTCAATGTACTCTAATATTCATTTATGAACCTAAAAGGTTTTAAGGCAATTGTTTGTTTTCTGAACTCAAATGGAGTAAGTATAAGGTACTCAAATATTAGTTTTTCAACTTAAAAGGGTTTTAAGGCAACTGTTTGTTTTGTGAACTTAAATGAAGTAAGTTCACAGTACTCAAATATTCATTTATAAACTTAAAAGGTTTTAAGGCAACTGTTTGTTTTGTGAACTCAAATTAAGTAAGTTCACAGTACTCAAATATTCATTTATGAACCTAAAAGTTTTTAAGACAATTGTTCATTTTGTGAACTCAAATGGAGTAAGTTTTTCGGTACTCGAATATTAGTTTTTTAACTTAAAAGGTTTTAAGTCAATTGTTTGTTTTGCATACTCACATGTAGTAAGTTCACTGAACTTAAATATTCGTTTTCGAACTTAAATGGTTGAAGGCAATTGTTTGTTTGTTTGTTTTGTTTATTTACATATTCATTTTTGAACTTAAATGGTCTAAGGCGATTGTTTTGTGTACTCAAATATTAGTTTTTGAACCTAAATGGTTTAGAGCAATTGTTTGTTTATTGGTTTGTTTGTTTTTAGAATAGCTTGAGTATACTTAACTTGTACTTTGCTCAAAAGGTTTTGTGTACTCAGATATTCATTTTTGAACTTAAATGGTTTAGGGTGATTGTTTGTTTTGTGTACTCAAATGAAGTAAGTTCGCAGTACTAAAATATTAGTTTTTGTATGTAAACAGTTTAAGGCAATGCTTCGTTGCTGTTCGTTTTCTTTCAAATTTTTTGAGTTCCCTTAACATAGATGCTTTTACACTGACACGTCTCAGCATCTTTTAGTTAAAACATTTATTGTCTTGCAAAGATTTGTCCAATTGGTGTTGCACAGAATTTAATATGTGACAACAGTTTTCCTCCAATCCACAGCATTGTATCCAATATCTCAAGTTATCAGCATTGACTATCAACATGATTCTCTAATGTGTCACGCTGTACCACATTCTTTATTTTTAAATGTACATTTTAAACAACAACGAATTAGTTTAATATTTTGTTATCAGATTTATTTAATGTGTGAAATGTAAAACTGTGCTTTTGGGGATTTTTAATACTAATATTAAATTTACTTGTGGCTTTGGTGGCCAGATATGTTTCAGAGTGCATGCGTATATTATGTGACCAGGGTTGTTTATTTTGTTATGGTCAATAATATTAGCCCCTGAAACAAATAAGCATTTTTTGATTGTCTACAGAACAAACTATTGCTTTCCAAAAACTTGCCTGTAGTAACTCGCCTATAGTTAACCAAATTAATTTAGGTAGCCCTTAAATTAGGTTTAAAATGTTAAAAAATTGTAAATTGTAACTCATTTAAATTGTAAAAACTAAAATTTGAATTCAAATAATTTTGAGCTACTCGTAAACATTAAACTGCACTCAAATTATTGTTGCTGCTTGTTCAAACTACCTGAATCAACTGAATTAACACAGTTCTTGAGGTTTATTTGGGACAACTTAATTGTTTTATGTACAGTCCACTTAAATTTGCAAAAACAATTGTGTTAAATATTTTTTTTAAGAGACAGTTTTTGTTGAGACAGCATGAAGGAACTGTGTGGAACCCAGGATTTCTTACAGTGTAGACTAAAAATGCAGGGATCCACACAATGCGTTCAGGTTGTCCCAACACAAACCGGTCACAATTTACAATAAGGTTCATTAGTTAATGTTAATTAATGCATTTACTAACGGAAACAAACAATGAACAATACATTTACTACTCTATTTGTTCATGTTAGTTAACGTTAGTTAATGAAAATACAGTAGATCATTGTTAGATCATGTTAACTCATGGTGCATTAACTAATGTTAACAAGCATGGACTTAAATGTTAATAATGCATTAGTAAATGTTTAATTATGATTAATAAATGCTGTACATGTGTTGTTCATGATTAGTTCATGTTAGTAAATGCATTAACTACTGAACCTTATTGTAAAGTGTTACCCACAAACCAATTAAGTTAACTAAACAAATTTAATTCAATTGAACATAAAACAAGTTATCCCCTAAGAAAATGTCAAGAATTGTGTTATTTAAGCTCACTTCGCATAAGTAGTCTGTACAAGCAGCAACATCCTCTTTAAGATCTGATTCCTTGTTTCTCACAGGAAAGTGAATACAGTGCTTTTAAATGTGGTAAATTCATCTATAACTTTATACCACCTCTGCCATTAAAAAGCTGGATTAATAACTGTATCATTGTTATTTATGGTAGGGGAATATGCGTGCATGCCGTATAAATCATGATGTCCCGTCGCTGTGGCATTATCATACACTCCACTGGAGGTTGAAGATTTATGATTTAATGGCGGGAGATGTTCATACATTGTGTTCTGATTATCTGTGTACTGTGTGTTGTGTCTGACAGGTTACAGGCCCTTCAGCGTTACCGCTGTAAATCAGCGTGTTTCAGAGTGAATATATACATGACATGAAGTGGATGGCTCCTCAGAAGGCCAGCGGATCCTACTCGTGGTAAGTGAAGGACACACTGACACATATCTCTAGTGTTGTGTTACTGTCTTTTATACATGCTTTTTAAGAGCAGCTGCTGGTTGGATAATGCAAATGTATGCTTAAAAATGTACTGTTCAAACTACTTGAGTTTTTGGAGACAACTTATTTGTTTTATGTTTAATCCATTTACATTTGCAAAAACGATTAAGTTGACTTAATCGATTTGTGTTTGGACAACAGTATTCATTAGTTTGTGTTTACTTGTGAAATGCTAAACTCTTAAAAATTGGGTATTTCAATCCAATTTTGGGTGAAATATGGACAAAACCAACCAAGTTCATTTTTTTATTAAATGTATGCTCACAGCTTATTTTACAGTATGATTCTCGGTATTAACAAACCCTAAACTATGATGTTTGGCGTAATTATGACTTAATTTGCTGCTCATTAATACACTGTAAAACCCAACTGTCAACTTTATCAGATGAAATGAGTGTGGTTAACTCAAAATTTACTAAAAGTTAATTCTACTCATTTGAAAAGAGTCTTGAACTCGGTGTTGAAGGTAATGAGTTAATTAAATATCTCACTTAAATGGAGTAAGTTCACAGTACTCATGTAGATTAGTTTTTTTTAACTCAAATGGTTTGTTGCAATCGGTTTTCTCAAATGGTTTAAGTTGTCTTAACCTATTGGTTTTTACAGTATTCAGTTGGTTTGAGTTCTCTTCATTTATTGGGTTATACTGTACTCAAATTGCTTAGTTTACTCAAATGGATTAAGTTCACAGTACTCATTATTAGGATTAGTTTTTGAACTTAAATGGTTTGAGTAACTTTTAACTTTTTGGGTTTTACAGTGTGGTTATAAATGTAGTAGTTGGGTTTAGGTTTTGTGTGAGATTGAGGAAGTGAAATAAAATCATGCTTTATGAGTATTACAGTTTTTTTATTGGTTTTAACTATTTTTAAAAGCAAAAAAAAAAAAGTTGAGTTAACTCAAACCATTTGAGGAAAATGAGTTGAATTAACTACACTCATTTCATTTGATTAAGTTGACTGTTGGGTTTTAAGTTTAAGTTTTAAGCCAACATTTGGGTGAGTTACACATTTGATTAGTGTTGGTTGAAACAACCCAGCATTTTTAGAGTGTAACCTATGTTATGAAAATGTTTTGATTTATAGTATACTCTTAAAAATAAATAAAACAATAAAAAATATATATAATTATATATATAAATAAAACCTATTTTTGCAACCTTTATTTATTATACATTAATATATTATATATTATATATATATATATATATATATATATATATATATATATATATATATATATATATATATATACATACATACATACATACCACATACATACATAAATATAATAAATATAATAATATATATAATAATATATATATATATATATATATATATATATATATATATATATATATATATATATATATATATATATATATATATATATATATAATTATTTATTGAGTACCCAATTACAACTTCCCAATTCTTCCCAATGAATCAGGTTAGCTTAATCGATGTTGGGACAACATGAAGGAATTAGGTTGTATTGTGCCAATCTACTGTATTGTGCCACTTATATATATTGTGCCATATATATATATATACAGTTGAAGTCAGAATTATTAGCCCCCCTGAATTATTAGCGCCCCTGTTTATTTTTTTCCCCTATTTTTGTTCTGTTCTGGGAAGACTGTTTCAGCACATTTCTAAACTTAATATTTTTAAAAAATATATTTATTTTATCTTTTCCATGATGACAGTAAATAATATTTTTACTAGATATTTTTCAAGACACTTCTATACTGCTTAAATTGACATTTAAAGGCTTAACTAGGTTAGTTAGGTTAACTTGGCAGGTTAGGGTAATTAGGCAAGTTATTGTATAACGATGGTTTGTTCTGTAGATTATTGGAAAAATATATATTGTATAGCTTAAAGGGGCTAATAATTTTGTCCTTAAAATTGTGTTTAAAAAAGTAAAAACTGCTTTTATTCTAGCCGAAATAAAACAAATAAGACTTTCTCCAGAAGAAAAAATATCATCAGACATACTGTGAAAATTTCATTGCTCTGTTAAAAATCATTTGGGAAATATTTAAAAAAGAAAATCAAAATCAAAAGGGGGCTAATAATTCTGACTTCATCTGTATATATATATATATATATATATATATATATATATATATATATATATATATATATATATATATATATATATATATATATATATATAAATATTGGCTACATATTTAAGTATATTGAACATAAAACAAGTTGTCCCAAAAAAAACCCCAATAATTGTGTTGATTCAGCTCATCTTAAATAAGTAGTTTAACCAAGCAGCTAAAAAAATCATTTTATGAGTAAACACTCACAGAACACACACACACACGCACACACACGCACACACACGCACGCACACACACACACACACACACACATAAAAAGAAACAATGCACAATACAACAGAACTCAAATATTTACAATGAAATTGGGTGAGGCTCAATATTGCAATGGTTTTGAGAAAAGAAAAAGTGCTGTAAGCCGAGTAAATACAGGCTTTAATATTTTGACAACAGATATGATTGAAGTAAATAATATCGGCCTGGTGACTCAGAGCTGAGGGTGTCTGACCGGCGCTTTTTTTTGCATCGTTTCCTTCATTACTAAACAGAGCGTACAGGTAGCCCTCTTGTTAAACACTGTTATCACAATAGCGGAGCTCTGTTGGCTGGCCGCGCTCCAGAGCAAGCAAAAGGTTGAAAAGCTCTCCTAGATTTCCAATATTCGTCGATGCGGGGCCCTTTAGATGTGGGGCCGGACGTAAGCGGAATAGAGCACACCTGATTGGTTGAATGCTTTCACAGGTTCATGTATATATAGAGCTCGAGGAAGCTGGACTCATATTTTAGTTGTTGTCATTTTTGATTCATCTCCACATGCTTCACAACCAGATATTTTGATTGTGTTTTCTTGTGGACAGCTCAAGCAACATGTCGACAAAGGCAGATCTAGAAGCTATGGAGAACCAGATATCCACCATCCAAATCAGCTCCCATGGAGAGACGCCTAACCGGGGGTTCAAGCCTGTGGAGAAGGGCCGCAATTGGGGATGGCTCCTGTCTGGGTTCATCTCCTTAAACGCTCTGCTTTTGGGAATCGCCATCGTGAGTGGAAGTGTCTTCAACAAGGTCCAGATCACTTCCTCTCACCTTTTGATCTTCCTCATCTTGCTGGTCATCCTGTCCACTGTGTGGATGCTTTACTATAAAGTGCACACTTCCCGGGTGTACCGCGCAGTGCTCTACAAGGACAGTCATGCCGGACCTGTTTGGCTGAGAAGTACGTTGGTTCTTCGTCTTCCAGGAGATCTTGGGAAATTAATTTGGTAACACTTTATTTTGATGGTCCATTTGACGATTAGTAGACTGTCTGTTTAATATCTGTTGGTACTTCTGCTAAACAGACATTTACAAACTTTATAAGTACATATCAACTTAACCCTGACCCCGACCTAACAGTCTACTTATAATCTAATGAGAATTGGTTGGCATGTAGATCCAATGTAACTTAAATTCAACAAACGGATCATCAAAATAAAGTGTGACCATTACCTTGTTGAAAATTGTGTTGATTTACATGTGGTTGCACTCTCAGAAATGAAGGTACAGGAGCTGTCACGGTGGCAGAATCTTTTCAAAAGATACATATTTGTACCCAAAGAGTTCACAGGGGAACCTCAAAGGTGCATATTAGTACCCAAATGAACCCAAAAAGTCCCTTTAAGGTACCATTTTGAACCCTTTAGGTGCAAATATACATTCCCTTTGAAAAGGTACTGCCCCAATGACAGCTCCTGTACCTTTATTTCTGAGAGTGTGTTATACAGTTCAAATTTGAACCAATTTTCTAATATAGGATTTAAAAAATTATAGAATTTCCTATTTTTCTTCTATAGATGTTTTTTTCTGCCTTATATTTTTAGTTGAAAGGAAATATTTAAAAACTATATATATATATATATATATATATATATATATATATATATATATATATATATATATTATTTTTTTTTTTTAACTGCACTATAAAAAAAGAAAAATTGACTCAACTTAAAATATTAAGGCAACAAACTTCAGAACATTTTTGAGTTGACTTAACTTTCAACCTAATTACTGACTCGATTTAAGTTAAGTAAACTCAAAAATGTCCTGATGTTTGGTCCCTTAAAATTTTAATTTGAGTCAACTATTTTTTACAGTGAGCGTTTAATTTAATTTTAATTCATTATTGTTATTATGTTAAAGTGCTGTGTAACAAAGCATGGACGTTTTTATAGTATTTCATATTATGTAATGTATTTTTCATATTATTTTATAGTATTATTCATATTATTATTTCTTAAATATTTTAGTTAAAAAAAGAAAAAAAAAGAAAAATTGGCTCAACTTAAAATATTAAGGCAACAAACTTCAGAACATTTTTGAGTTGACTTAACTTTCAACCTAATCACTGACTCGATTTAAGTTAAGTAAACTCAAAAATGTCCTGATGTTTGGTGCCCTAAATTTTTAAGTTGAGCCAACTATTTTTTTGCAGTGAGCTTTTGATTTTAATTATTTTAATTAATTATTTGTATTATGTTAAAGTGCTGTTTAACAAAGCATGGACGTTTTTATAGTATTTCATATTATGTCATGTATTTTTCATATTATTTTATAGCATTATTCATATTATTATTTCTTAAATATTTTAGTTAAAAAAATTATTTAAAAAGAGGAAAAATTGAGTTTAATTTCAAAGTGAAATTAGTTATTTGTCCTAAAAATAGTAAATGTATAAACATTTTCCAAGTGCTGTTTAACTGTTAGCTGTTTTTCCACAATATTTCCTATTATATTTTTACTAATGTCTTTTAGTTTAATATATCTAATATTTTTAATCAGGCATGGGCCTGTATATGATTCTGATGTTCTGATAACCTTGGATAAAAATATCTTAAGTTTCACGGTATTGTGCTCACTGCTCTAAAATATATTCTTTTTTAAATTTCTGGGTAAAAAAACTAAAATGTTTTTCCCTTTTAAACACAATATATTTTATTTTGAGAAGCATTTCAAATATTTTGGGACAGTAAACATGTCAGGCTAAATCATTCAAATGAATCATGGACTTTTGCTGTCTTCATTTATTTCAACAACAGATTTATTTTAACAGCATCTTTGGAGATCTTCTCTGCTTGAGATACTTTTGTCCCAAAAAAACTACAAAAAAGTAAATTAAATATACGTATTATTATACATACCTTAGGAACGGCATTACAGAAATGTTGATGGTTTTTAAACCTTGACTTTTCCAAACCGTGGTATGCCTTGAAAATGGTTATCATCCCATGCCTATTTTTCATATTGAATTTTATTTTCAAAATATTTCCCAAGTATATTTTTCTTTTTGAGAATATCTTATTTACATTGGTTTTTGATCAAGTTATTTGTAAAATAATTTTTTTAAGCTGCTCAATATTTAATATATCAATATATAATAACAGGTCAATATTATTAGCCTCCTAAATAAGTTTAACTTTTTTGTAAATGGCTACAGAACAGTTACAGAATGACTTGCCTACATACCCTAGCTTGCCTAGTTAACCTAGTCAAGCCTTTAAATTGCACTTTAAGCTGCAAACTAGTATCTTGCGAAACAACCAGTAAAATATTATGTACTGTCATCATGACAAATTATTAGAAATTAGTTACTCAAACAATTAAAAAAAAAAGTCTCTGTTAAACAGCATTTGGGACATTATAAAGCAGAATGAATAACCGAGTGTTTATGTTGTTCTGTTTGTGTCTTCATCAGCTGGACTGGTTTTGTTTGGGATCTGCAGTGTAATCATGGACATCTTCAAGATTATTTTTTACGTGGGTCGAATGAACTGCGAATCGCCTGTCAAAATAGCCTTCCCCGTTGTGCAAGCGGTGTTTGTCATCGTCCAGGTGGGTTTAAACAACCAACGCCACTTCTTGACACACTGTGAATGTTTTGGGATCTACACAATTCCTTTATGTTGACCCAACACAAATCGATTAAGTTAACCTAATCGTTTATACAAATTTAAGTGGATTGAACATAAAAAAATTAAGTTGTCCCAAAAAAAAAAAAACGTAAGAATTGTTTTGTTTCAACTTATTTTTTAAATAAATAGCCATTTTTTTCCGTTTTGTCAGTTTAGTGGCTAATTTGTACGAATTCAGTCATATGAAAATGTACAATTTTAAAAAGAAGGCCATGACACCAAACCCAACCCCTAAACCCAGCCATTATTGGGTTTAGGGGTGGCGCTTGGTGTCATGCTTCCTTTTTAAAATCGCACAAATTTGTTAAGGTTTAGTTTACACGAAAGTATATAAGTCCGATTTTAAAAAGGAGGCATGGCACCCAACTGTCATTGGGGATTGAGCAAATCATGCTAAATTGTACTAATGAGATTGTATGAATTCAGAGAATTAGCCACTAAATCAATTAGGTACGAACTGCCGTGAGATAGCGTTGGTATTTCATCTTATTTCCTGTGTCGTCTATCTTTTAACAATACTGTCCTCCATTTTGCAGACATACGTGCTCTGGATTCATGCTAAAGACTGTGTGCAAATCAAGCAAAACATCACACGGTGAGTCCTAGCATTCAACCTATTTTGGGTTCGTAGTGTTAGTTGCAATTTGAAACAATATTGAGTAAAAACATGGTGTATGTGGAGAACCTTTTCTTTACATGAGCATATTTTTAAAAAGGAATTATTGGATTTACTCTTTTTTTTAAGATAAGTTGTTGCAAACAATGTATGTGGCCTGAATTTGAAAGTTGAAGTTGAATATTACTAAATTTAATTTGTTTGTATAAATTCATATACATTGTTTGGAACCACTTACCTTAAAAAATGACGTAAAAGGTTTTTTTTTTTTTTTTTTTTTTTTTTTTTAGTGAAAGACTTTCCACTTTTAAACTTTTGTGACAGAACGATAAAACATTTATATATATAAAAAATAATGATAAATAGCATTACAATAATAACAGCAACAATATTAAATAAAAAGGAGTAAATAAAACAATCGTAAAAGGTTTTTAATTAAATATCTCGTACCACTGATTCAGGAATATTAAAGGTTTTATTTGCCTTTGAGCTCAAAGTTTTAGACCGATTCTAAACAAATTTAAAAAAAAAAAATCTCTAAAAATATTGTGGCGGTTCATTCCAGTGTGGGACCCCTGATAAATGAGGAACAGAAAAAGCAGTTAAATTGTAAAGATGTTCAAATATTACAGTTATTCATAGAAATTCGTGTTTTTGAATCATACTAGATATAGTAAAGCACTTAAATTCATCTGTTTAAGTAATTCTATACTTTTGAAAAATATACATAAATTAGCAGATTTCAGTATTTTTGTGATTCATATTTTTATTTTTCCCCATTTATGTATTAAGAATTGTATTTATGGGACTTTGGTCTTTCTTCCAATGATCTTTAATATTAAAACGTTTGAAAAAATGGACTTTTATGAACATTTTTAACAATTTTAAGTGATATATTGATATATAACCGGGGTGGTGTTGTATTTGAGGTACAAAGACAGCCAGTTTTCTGTTATTTTACAGACTTAATATTACACATTATATTATTTCAAACTAATAAAATATCATTAAAAGTCCCTTTCTCATACTGAAGAGTTGAATTTACAACATTAAAAGTTGACAGAGCAGTGACCAACATCCCATAATGCAATTCACAACTGTAAATAAACGGAAAACATTTGTGAATCACAAAATATAGATTTTGTGTGTGTGTGTGTGTATAGTGCTATCCCTACTGAAAATACCAGCTTAAACCAGCCTTGGCTGGTTTTAGCTGGTCGACCATCCTGCGTTTAGAGGGGTTTTGGCTGTTTCCAGACAGGTCTTTGGTCAGGCTGGGAGATGTCTAGTTAAAACCACCTTGACCAGCCTAGCCAAAACAAACTATGTCCAGCTTAAACCAGGCAGGTCAAGCTGGTTTTAGCTGATCATTTTCCAGGCTGACCAGGCCGGATATGACTGGAAACCAGTCTGAATAGGGCCAAAACCCCTTCAAAACCAGGATGGTAGACCAGCTAAAACCAGCTCAGGCTGCTTTAAGCTGTTTTTTTTCAGCAGGATGGAAACACAACAAATGTTACTGTATATACTACCACTACTAGCTGTTTTCTACAACTATAGGGTATATTATAATACTAATGCTAATCTGTCTTTCGGATGAGATGTTAACCGAGGTCCCGACTCTCTGCGGTTGTTAAATATCCGAGGATGTCCTTCAAAAAAAGAGTAGGGGTTTAACCCCGGCATCCAGGCCAAATTTGCCCACCGGCCTTTGTCCATCATGGCCTTCCAACCATCCCCATATCTTAATTGGCTTTATCACTCTGTCTCCTCTCCACCAATCAGCTGGTGTGGGGTCTGGCGCAAAATGGCTGCCGTTGCGTCATCCAGGTGAATTCTGCACACCAGTGGTGGATGAGGAGATTCCCCCAAATGTGTAAAGTGATTTGAGTGTCTAGAAAAGCGCTATATAAATGTAAGGAATTATTAATTATTATTATTATAATACTACAGTAAACTAAAAACCACAGTATTTATTACCGTTCACTGTCATTATTGTAAATGAACAGAGTGTACTAGGCTATGCTATAACATTTACAGTATAATACACTCCACACATGATAGTATTTCCTGTAAATTTTTTTTTATTCATCACTGGTTAGTTGTTAACTGGCTTGGTCATTTGATTTCCTTGTCTATTTGACATCATGTTGTAGACAGGAAGTGTAATTAAAGGGAAAGTCTGACAAACAGTGTCGCACCTTTTCAGATCTATAAAGGAAACAGAAGCATTTGTAACCAGCGCAACCTGCATTGACTGTAAATCTGCGTGACGTCTCGCTGTGAAGCAATGAGCACACAATTTGTGGGAAATGTTTGCCCGATTGAGCGTTTGATTGGACTGGACGCTTCTGTGGAAGTGAGGCGCTAATATCGCTGTATGCTAATATTGACTTTCTTGCTGTAGTTGCGGCCTGATGTTGACTCTGTCCACCAACCTCATGGTGTGGATGATGGCTGTGACTGAGGAGTCGCTCCACCAGACTGTGGCTCCAGTCAAACCTCCGACCAACAACAACAGCTACAACGACACACTTGATGGTGAATATACACTATTAGAAGTTCATCCTTTTTATAACAAGTGTATTACATGTTTCAACCCTACTGGAAAAAACAGCTTAAACCAGCCTAGGCTGGTTGGCTGGTTTTAGCTGTTCAACCAGCCTGGTTTTAGAGGGGGTTTGGCCATTTCTAGGCTGGTTACCAGCCATTTCCAGCCTGGTCTTAGCTTGTCAGGCTGGGAGATGACCAGCTAAAACCAGCTTGACCAGCTTTAGCCAGGCTGGTCAACTAATTTATTTTGTCTTTACCATAATGACTATTATATAGAAATATATACACATAATGGGCGAAACAGTGGCACAGTAGGTAGTGCTGTCGCCTCACAGCAAGGAGGTCGCTGGGTCGAGCCTCAGCTCAGTTAGCATTTCTGTGTGGAGTTTGCATGTTCTCCCTGCATTCGCATGGGTTTCCTCCAGGTGCTCCGGTTTCCCCCACAGTCCAAAGACATGCGGTACAGGTGAATTGGGTAGACTAAATTGTCCGTAGTGTATGAGTGTTTGTGTGAATGTGTGTGGATGTTTCCCAGAGATGGGTTGCGGCTGGAAGGGCATCCGCTGCGTAAAAACTTGCTGGATAAGTTGGCGGTTCATTCCGATGTGGTGACTCTGGATTAATAAAGGGACTAAGCTGACCAGAAAATGAATGAATGAATGAATGAATGAATGAATGAATGAATATACACATAATTTCTTAAGGGGGCTAATAATAATGACCTTAGTTTTTTTTTTTTTACTTTAAAAAAAAGAGCTATATATCAGCCAAATTAAAAATAAAAAACAAGACTTTATACGGAAGAAAAATATAATAAGAAATCATGTGAAATTGTCATTGCACTGTGAAACAGTTCTTATTTTAAAAAATACAATATTTAAACAATGATTTCTATCTAAAAAAAATATACGATTAGTAAGTCAGCATGTTTTTATGCTAACTAGTAAAAAAAACTAAGTTAAAGTTTTCAACTTGATTTTTTAAAGCAGTTTTAGGTGATTTAAGGTTAATTTGATTCAACTTAAATTTTGTAGTTTTAGTGTATATTTCAGACTTTTGTACACTGTAAAAAAAAAGGATCCACACAATCCATTTATGTTGTCTCAACACAAGTTAATTAAGTTATCTTATTAGTTTCTACAAATTTAAGTGGATTTAACATAAAACTATTATCTCCCCTAACCCCCTGCACCCCCCCCCCCCCCTTTTTTTTTTGAGAGTATGACTGGTTTCCTGATTTATTTAGCAGTAAAGTTGCCATTCATTCACCACGGCAGATAACCAACATGCACATTTTTGCTTCCAGGTCGTGCTGCAGCCAGTGAATGTGAGTGTCTCCATAACATGTGCGACCTCTTTGAGAAGGCCTACTACTACCTGTACCCCTTCAACATCGAGTACAGCCTCTTCGCCTCCGCCATGACCTACGTGATGTGGAAGAACGTCGGCCGCAAGATGGACGACCACCACAGCCACAAGCTGCACTTCAGCCTGTGGGACGTCCTGGTGGGTCCGCTGGCGGGCCTGATCGTCCTGGTGGCGGGTCTGGCTACGTTTGTGGTGTACGAAGTGGACGTGTCTAAAGACGACCCTAAGAAGAAGGAGGAGGCTCTGATAATGCACTACATCATGAACATAGTGGCCGTCCTGCTCATGTCCAGCTCCGCTCTCGCCGGATGCATCCTCTTCCGCATGGACAAGCGAGAGCAGGTGTCGGGGAAGAACCCAACGCGGAGTCTGGATGTGGGACTCCTGGTGGGAGCGTCATTGGGACAGTTCCTCATCTGCTACTTCACTATAGTCGCTGTTTTGGCGTCTGGCGTCCAAGGCCACACGAATGGGCTCAACCTAGCATGTGCTATGCTAACGGTGATCGAGCTGTGCATTCAGAATGCCTTCCTCATCAAGGGCCTCCATCGGGAGCCCTTTAAGGAGACTGAGGTGGCCACCGTCTTCGCCAACGTCATGGCTGTGAAGGAGCGAGACCCAGAGAGACGGAGCAGCTCCATCGTGCCCGCACACACACTCCCCATCCCGCTGACTCTACTGCAGGGCCGGATGTCCTGGAAGAGGAGGGTCCTGAAGGAGATCTGCGCCTTTCTGTTGCTCTGCAATGTCACGGTACATACCCGAGCCTGCATTCTTTAAATATCAGATATTAGGACACATTCTGAGAGTAGTTAGCAGCTTGATCATGTTTACGATTGTTTAAAAGGGGCTGTACAGCCAAAAAAATAACTTAAGTCATCGTTTACTCATCCTCTTCTTGTTCCAAAACTGTTTGAGTTTCTTCTGTTGAACATATAGGAAGATATACTGAAGGATACAGTATAACAAACATCCTTCCATAGTACTTAGTGTAATTGCTTCTGTAGTATTTTTTGTTCCTGCTATGGATGTCAATGGCTGATTTTTTTTCCCAACATTCTTCAGAATATCTTGCTTTAGATTGAACAGAAGAACAAAATTCATAACAGTTTGGAAAATATGTTGTTTCTTTTAATGAGGAAATTTTCGTTTTTGGGTGAAATGTCCCTTTTTAATAACATTTAAGTATTTTGGTAGAAATGCAAATGTTTTGAAGTAAAAGTACTTTTTTTTGTTGTTTTACAGTACAAATGTCAAAAGTATTTTCAGCAAAAATAGGAACAATGCAAGTTTTACCATTTTTGAATGCACTGAGATGATCTCTGGGTCTGACAGGAGCACTTTTAGCTTAGCTTAGCATAGATCATTGAATAGGATTGAACCATTAGCATCTCACTCAAAAAGAAAATTACCAAAGAGTTTCTACGATTTTCCTATTTAAAGTTTGCCTTTTTTTGTGTACTACATTGTGTTCTAAGACTAATAGAAAATGAAAAGTTGCTATTTTCTATGCCAACATACCTAAGAACTATATTCATTCCAGCAAAATAACCAAAGAACTTTACTGCCATACCATGGCTGCAGCTAGCAAAACAACATTACTAGCACAATTGTCAACAGTTTAAATAGATAACTAATACATAACCTAAGTTGTAAATAGTAACTAAAGCATAAATATTAGCTAATAAGTAAGTACTCAAGGTTTAAGTAGAAAATTCTATAAACTTTTTTTTTTAGCAATATGCTAACAGTCTAATCAGAAACAATGATTTATGCTAAGATAAAAGTGCTTCTTCCAGACCAGGAGATCAGCTTAATGAATTCAAAAATGCTAAAACTCAGCTGTTTAACTCTTGAGAAGTTATAAAATGAGTCTATTTCTAAGTAAACTAAAAGTTTTTCTAAAACCCAGCAAAACAAATGTTAGTTTGTATTTTCCTTTCTGTTTTGGATTAGTTAACAGTGGCAAACCTGCTATCAAACCAGCTAAATCTCTATCTTTAATACATAATAATCACAAACCAGCCTTAAAATCTGACCGTACCGCTGCATTTCTGTTGCTGTCACTATGCTAAATGTTAAAATATGCTAAATACTAAAACTCAACCGTTTAACATCCTGAAATCTTACTGTACTGCTGCATTTCTGTTTTAGCTGTGGCTATGCTAAATGTTAAAATATGCTAAATACTAAAACTCAACTGTTTAACATCCTGAAATCTTACTGTATTGCTTCATTTCTGTTTTAACTGTGGCTATGCTAAATGCTAAAATATGCTAAATACTAAAACTCAACTGTTTAAGTCCTGAAATATTACTGTATCGCTTCATTTCTGTTTTAGCTGTGGCTATGCTAAATGTTAAAATATGCTAAATACTAAAACTCAACTGTTTAACATCCTGAAATCCTACTGTATCACTTCATTTCTGTTTTAGCTGTGGCTATGCTAAATGTTAAAATATGATAAATGCTATAACTCAACCGATTAACATCCTGAAATCTGACTGTATCGCTGCATTTTTGTTTTAGCTGTGGCTAAATGTTAAAATACTAATATGCTATATACTAAAACTTAACCGTTTAACTCGTCCTAAAAAAAATACCGTATTGCTGCATTTCTGTTTTAGCTGTGGCTATGCTAAATGCTAAAATATGCTAAATACTAAACCCCAACCGTTTAACTCGTCCTGAAATCTGACCGTATCGCTGCATTTCTGTGTTTTAGCTGTGGATATGCCAAATGCTAAAATATGCTAAAAGCTAAAGCTCAACTGTTTACCTCATCCTGACCTAATCACTGTATTTCTGTGTTTTAGCTCTGGATAATTCCAGCCTTCGGAGCGCGGCCTCAGTTCGACAACACCGTTGGGCCAGACGTTTATGAGTTCCAAACGTGGGCCGCCGTGGTAAACATCGGAATGCCATTTGGGATCTTCTACCGAATGCACTCGGTGGCGAGTCTGTTTGAGGTGTGCCTCGCTGCCTAAAGCAGACCACCATCCCAGAACTGTACCACCCCAATGCACATATCTATGTAAAATAATATATTTTTATAGACTATTTTTGTTTAGCCAAATGTTTTATATTTTACTATGTTTTTACCACATAACGCAATGTTTATATGTTAGCATGAGTGTATGGCAAGCCAAATTAGCTAAAATTGCACACAACTTGTCATAATTGCATTTCTACTAGTAATGATTACAATTTTGGAGCTTTTGAGTTCAATTTTTACTAACAAAAATTACAATTAGAGTCCTGTAATTTTATTTTACTAGTTATGTGTCTCTATTGACTTCCATATTCAGTGCATCGGGAAAGTATTCATAGCGCTTCACTCTTTCCACATTTTTTTATGTTACAGCCTTATTCTAAAATTGATTAAATTCATTTATTTCCTCAACATTCTACACACAATACCCCATAATGACAATGTAAAAAAAGAATTTTTGAAATTGTTGCAAACTATTAAAAATAAAAACCTGAAAACTCACATGTACATCAGTATACACAGATTTGCCGTGAAGCTCGAAATTGAGCTCAGGTACATTCTGTTTCCGCTGATCATTCTTGAGATGTTTCAGCAGCTTAATTAGAGTTCACCTGTGGTAAATTCAGTTGATTAGCCATGATTTGAAAGGCATACACCTGTCTATATACAGTCCCAGGGTTGACAGTGCATGTCAAAGCACAAACCAAGCATGAAGACAAAGGAATTGTCTGTAGATTTCTGAGACAGGATTGTCTCGAGGCCCAAGGCTGGGGAAGGTTACAGAAAAACTTCTGCTGCTCTGATAGTTCCAATGAGCAGAGTGGCCTCCATCATTCGTAAGTGGAAGTTGTTTGGAACCATCAGGACTCTTCCTAGAGCTGGTCAGCCATCTGAGCTGAGTGATCTGGGGAGAAGCACCTTAGCCAGAGAGGTGATCAATAACCTGATGGTCACTCTGTCTGAGCTCCAGCGTTCTTCTGTGGGGAGAGGAGAACCTTACAGAAGGACAACCATCTGTGCAGCAATCCACCAATCAGGCCTGTATGGTAGAGTGGCCAGACGGAAGACCCATCTGAAATCTGCCAAAAGGCATTTGAAGGACTCTCAGCCCATAGGAAACTAAATTGTCTGGTCTGATGAGACTAAAATTGAAGTCTTTGGAGTGATGCCAGGCGTTACATTTGGAGAAAATCAGGCACCGCTCATCACCAGGCTAATACATCCCTACAGTGAGCATGGTGGTGGCAGCATCATGCTGTGGGGATGTTTTTCAGCAGGAGGAACTGGAAGACTAGTCAGGACAGAGGGAAAGATGAAGGCAGCAATGTACAGAGACATCCTGAATGAAAACCTGCTTCAGAGTGCTTATGACCTCAGACTGGGGCGACGGTTCATCTTCCAGCAGGACAATGACCCAAAGCAAACCACTAAAATATCAATGGAGTGGCTTCCCAACAACTCGGTGAATGTCTTTGAGTGGCCCAGCCAGAGCCCAGACCTGAATCCTATTGACCATCTCTGGAGAGATCTGAAAATGGCTGTACACTGTCGCTTCCCATCCAACCTGATAGAGCTTGAGAGGTACTGCAAAGAGGAATGGGCAAAAATTCCCAAAGACAGGTGTGCCAAGCTTGTGGCATCATATTCAAAAAGACTTGAGGCTGTAATTGCTGCCAAAGGTGCATCGAGTACTGAGCAAAGGCTGTGAATACTGATGTACATGTGATTTTTCAGCTGTTTTATTTTTAATACATTTACAACTATTTAAAGTTTTTATTTTTCACATTGTCATTATGGGGTATTTTGTGTAAAATTTTAAGGAAATAAATTAATTTAATCCACTTTGGAATAAGGCTGTAACATGAAAAATGTGCAAAAAGTGAAGCGCTGAGAATACTTTCCAGATGCACTGTATAACTCGATCTACAATTGAATTTGTTCTCTAAAGCTCTCTCATTAAATACTTTAAAAATGACATTAAAGTCATGAACATTTATATATATACTTGTTTAAATGAACTCTGTCATTTACATGGTTTACAAATTAAAAGTTAAATATGTTTGGTAAGTTTTAAAATAAGATAAAATAATTAAAATAACTATTTTTTAGCTTCAATTTTTTAAAAATAAGGATTTTTATCCTTTACCCTAATCAGGTAACATATCCTGAGAGATACATGTCATAAAAGTCCTAAATAAATCTAATATTTTTAAAAGTTCCTTTGGATGTTTTACTTGGGTCCAGATGATTTAAAAAATGACATGACATTCACATATTCAATATTACGAGTAGAAAAATTCAATTAGAGAGCTCTCTAATTACATTTTTACTAATGAAAGAGCTCTTCAATTGCAAAGCCTTCTAAGGAAATTGCCGTTTCTAGTAAGAAATTAATTATAGAGCTCTAGAAATAAAATCTTACTAGTAAAAATTCATCTAGGATGAGTAAAGCTGAGTGCTTTTGAGCTAATTTGGCTTGCCGTATGAGTGCGTGAGAGAGTGTAGATGTAGACCATGTTGAACTGAAATCTTTCTGAATGTGTGAATATCGATATCTACTGAATTATGGCCTAGCCCTGTTACAGGCGTTCAGCTGTTAGCAATGCAGCATAAAACCCTCCAGAAAAAAAGCGATGCTGTCAAAGATGTCTGTTTGTCGTGTCTGAAAAGTGCGAACACTGCTGTACCCTTTCTGTTGCTGATGGATAAATGAAACGTGGAATAATAACACGTGTGTCTTTTCTTTTGTTGTTGTTGTTGTAATCTATACCCTGACAATATATTTTGCACAAATACACAAACATTAAAATACAAATGAGCTCTCTTATAAATACTGCCAAAAAAATGAAAACATTCTGTTTACAGATATATCGGCACTTTAAACAACATGACCAACATATATATATATGCAGTAATTCAACCAGGAGCTCACCATTCCACCATATTAGATTAGTTTATCATATATATACGTATATATATTCACTACCTGACAAAAGTCTTGTCACCTATGCAAGTTTTAGGAACTACATATAATAACTTGACTTCTAGTTGATCATTTGGTATCAGTAGTGGCTGATATGAAAGACAAAGGCCTCTAGATTACGCTTATTTAAGCTAAATAAAATATGATCATGTCTTGATTTTTAGTTATTTAATTAGGAGGTAAAAGTAAGGTCTGACTTTGCTTAGTCAAAAGTCTTGTCATTTAACAGAAATAATGTCCAGTATATAATATAAAGTCATGCTGCAGTGGAGGAAGTATGAATATTGTGTATGACTCCCATGAGCTTGGAGGACTGCATCCATACATCTCTGCAATGACTCAAATCACTCATTAATAAAGTCATAAAGGCAAAGAAAGCGTACTTGCAGGACTCCCAGAGTTCATCAAGATCCTTTGGATTCATCTTCAATGCCTCCTCCTTCATCTTAACCCAGACATGCTTCATAATGTTTAAGTCTGGGGACTGGGCTGGCCAATCCTGGAGCAACTTGACCTTCTTTGCTTTCAGGAACTTTGATGTGGAGGCTGAAGTATGAGAAGGAGCGCTATCCTGCTGGAGAATTTGCCCTCTCCTGTGGTTTGTAATGTAATGGGCAGCACAAATGTCTTGATACCTCAGGCTGTTGATGTTGCCATCCACTCTGCAGAGCTCTCGCACACCCCCATGCTGTATGTAATTCCAAACCATGATTTTTCCTTCACCAAACTTGACTGATTTCAGTGAGCATCTTGGGTCCATGTGGGTTCCAATAGGTCTTCTGCAGTATTTGGAATGATTGGGATGCAGTTCAACAGATGATTTATAAGAAAAATCTACCTTCAAACTCATACATTACAAGATAATTAATCAATATTACTAGACCCCAGTAAAACTGCATGGGATAGGATTAATGAAAAGTAACCACAGTTGGAAATGTCATTCTGTGGGCACCTTTTTACATTTAATGCGGAACTGTCATTTGGTGGCTCCATTCTGGACAAGAGTTATTCAAAACCTGGAGAATTGGCTTGGACAACCTTTACCTTGTTCACCAAGAGTTTGTCTTCTTGGTGATACATCTACTCTCCAGAACGTATTATCTAAAGCACAGGCTGGGCTAGTCGTCTAGTCGTCAGTTACTAGTCATCAGGATGTATTATGGCTGTGAGACTGGTGCTGCAAAATTGGAGGAACTCAGATACTCCCTCTTTTAAGGATTGGACTGAGCTGATGACTTCTACTGCATCATACGAACGTATGTTGGCAAGGCTCCACCCACACTTTCAATCAGAAATGGGGTAGCATTTAACAGTATTTGGAGAAAATGTAAAAGGAAACTTGAAGGGTTGTCATTTTGGCGGTCTGTTGTATCAGGCCCGGCCCTAAGCAATTTGGCACCCTTGACAAGATTTCAGTTGGCGCCTCATCACATCGCAGTAAATTCCACTGTATAGTCAGGAGAAAGTAAATAGATTTTTGATCAACTACTACAAGCTGGGAAAACGTCAGATAAATATGCCAATGCAATTAACATTAATGCTAAATAGATTTAATATTTACGCATTTGCTTGAGAAAGGAATGATGGGGGTAGTTACATTACTATTACTATTTTCCATAACATCTATGTCTTTCTATAGCATTAGCTCTATAGCACTACAGCTATTTATTGATTAGCAATCTGTCCAACGTTGGATGTAAAAAATATGGAACAACAAATAGCTTCGAATTATACATAGCAAACATTAGAAAATATTGACAACAAAATAAAAGATTTAGCCTATTAAAATCAATGGCCTATACAGAAATTGAATAAAGCTATAAAATCTACTTCACTTTTAATTGTATTTTCTTATTGATTATAGTTATTTAGTGAAGAGCAGCTAGTGAATCTCTCATTGTGTTTTGCTTGATAACAGAGGTGTTAATGTAAGAATGCACAGATCTATAATGAAGCATTCGACTACTTTAGTAACTGTTTGTGCTCATTTAAGAGAAAATTAGTTGTGTTTAAAATAAAACACGCAGGACGGAGCCAAAAAAAGAAAAAAAAGACGCACTTTTCCGATGGTCCCTTACTAAGACCTCCGCTCGGCGCGAGCTCTCCCGGCTGAACGCATATTGGCGAGGGCTTAAATGGAGCAGTGCTTGTAATGTTGAGCGAAAAAAAAGAAAAAGACAGCTGTGAAACATAACCAGCTTTGCTTTTTTGTAGGAAACACACTTTAGATCTTTTTAGGGTAAGAGGTTTTTGAGTTATTGCCGTCTATCGCTGAACGTGTCAGGAATACCGAAAACAAAACCAACTTAACCGTGCTCATTTCTGGCGCCTTCCTGGATGTACAGCGCCCTTAGCATTGGCCTATACTGCCTATGCCATGGACCGGCCCTGTGTTGTATTATATTATATTTGATATACAGTTAAAGTCAGAATTATTAGCCCCCTTTGGAATTTTTTTTTCTTTTTCTAATATTTCCCAAATGATGTTTAACAGAGCAAGGAATTTTTCACAGTATTTTTGATCATGTTTTTTCTTCTGGATAAAGTCTTATTTATTTTATTTCAGCTAAAATAAAAGCAGTTTTTAATTTTTTAAACACCATTTTAAGGTCAAAATTATTAGCCCCATTAAGCTATTTTTTTTTTCGATAATCTACAGAACAAACCATCGTTATACAATAACTTGCCTAATTACCCTAATTAGCCTAACTACCCTAACTTGTCTACTTAACCTAATTAACCTAGTTAAGCCTTTAAAATGTCACTTTAAGCTGTATAGAAGTGTCTTGAAAAATATCTAGGTAAATATTATTTACTTTCATAATGGCAAAGATTAAATAAATCAGTTATTAGAAACGAGTTATTAAAACTATTATGATTAGAAATGTGTTGAAGAAATCTGCTCTCCGTTGAACAGAAATTGGGGAAAAAAATAAAAAGGGGGGCTAATAAGTCTGACTTCAACTGTTATATGTTATAATATTTGTTTTGTTATTATTTTTATTATAATTTGTTTACATTATTTTCCTGAATGTTGATTTTGTATTGTGAATTTCATGTTATTTGGGGTATAAAACTTCAAAATAAAAATAAAAACGTCTACCTTCTGCCACTTTTCCAAATGTTCAACCTGACATCAAGTTATTATTTGTTGCTCGTACTACTGGGATAAGACTTTTGTCAGGTAGTGCACATACAGTATGAAGAGAGCAGTTCTACTTTAAACATCGAGCCATATTTACATAATCTCATTAGCAAAACCGATATGCAGACAAAAATAGAGATATTGATATACTGTCAAATATGTAATACTCTTTTTGTTTTGTTTTTTGTACAGTTTCACAATCTATTTGAACACTGGTGAAGTTCCCCACATTTTCATATTTTCCTCTCATATTTTCCTCTACTATTTTCCCTTCATCCCTGACATAAACTACAGAAAATGCACGCATTCATGTAATAAACAAAACTGGATTTAGTGTATCGCCCTCTTGTGGTGGCATCAGTACAATCTAGAGGTCGTTTCACAACTTCCTACAAACTATATTCACAAGGTTTTGGTAACTATAAATAGGCTTCCTTCTCGTAATAAGCACCTATAAAAAAACCACAGTGAGAGAGTTAGACGTGTCTGGGCTGCTGAACACAGTATGATTTTCTCTTATCAGCGCGAGGTTTATATTTAGCCGCTTTATCTGGAGGACAGCAGAAGCAAACAGACGTTTGGACAGGGCACTTCTCGAGGGGGCTCACAGTCACCTCTTCTCTGGGGAAGCGGAGCGGGTTAAAGCCAAAAATCACAAGGCGAGATCGGGAGAGACGGCGCAGCTCTACATCCTCTGGATCTCGAAGAGACGCACGTCAGTGTCGTACCAGATCGGCGGATCCACATTCCTGCAAGTCAGAGGACACCATGTTAATCACACAGGGTTAAAGCATAGCATAGTGACGAGCAACAAATTAGTCATTATTAAAGGTCTCATTAATAATTATGCACACCTTACATGCACATACATACATTACATACACACCACACCACACAAACAAACGACAATTTTAAGTTTCTCTAGATTTACGAGATTTATTAAGTATGGTTTTGTGTAAAATGTGAGTTTTGTGATAGTAAAAATTAAATATGGTGATAGTATATTAAAAATGTAAATAAATATATGTATGTTGATAATAATAAATTGAATAATAATAATAACATTAATAGTAATATTAATGCTAATAATAATATTTATTATTCATTTATTAATTTTCTTGTCGGCTTAGTCCCTTTATTAATGCGGGGTCGCCACAGTGGAATGAACCGCCAACTTATCCAGCATGTTTTTACGCAGCGGATGCCCTTCCAGCCGCAACCCATTCACTCACACTCATACACTATGGACAATTTAGCCAACCCATTTCACCAGTACCACAGGTCTTTGGACTGTGGGGGAAACCGGAGCACCCGGAGGAAACCCACACGAATGCAGGGAGAACATGCAAACTCCACACAGAAACTCCAACTGACCCAGTCGAGGCTCGAACCAGCGACCTTCTTGCTGTGTGAGGCAACAGCACTACCTACTGCGCCACTGCGTCGCCCAATATTTATTATTATTCATAATGTTATTAATATTAATATTATTGACACACACAGATATATTGCGTATGGATCGTCAAAATAGAGCCCAGAACGTCAAAAGATTATTTTGGAACAATAAGTGAACACATCAGTACCTTTATGAAAGAATATGCCTGGTAAATTCCCATAACGCTCTATAATTTCCGAACCTTAAAGATACTTATAGCACATTGACGGATCTCATGGCTCATGTTAAAATAACAACTTAGCTATGTCGAAATAATGACTTAATTTTGTCGATTAAACGAGAAAAATCTTGCTTTAATGAGAAAAGATCATTATAACTATATATATATATATATATATATATATAAATTTATGTGTGTATATATATATATACAATGTCGCATTATGTGCGCATAATGTGTATATATACCGCATTAATATACAATGTCGATTTTGTTAAAGCAGCTATATATATATATATATATATATATATATAGCTGCTTTAACAAAATCGACATTGTAAATGTGCCTTATAAATAAACATGAATGTGGTTGGTACAACTTCAAGACATTATAATGTTGGAGTTATCCACGGCGCCATTGAACTTGGTACAAATGAGTACATTATAGATCTGGACTTTAGCTGCTAACAAAATCTCCTTGTTTATTGCACAAAGAAATGATCAGGATCCAGAATGATTGCCTTGCTATGTATAATTGATATTTGATACTGTATTCTGTTTTTGTTTTTATGTTAACTTCTATTCATTGTAAAGCCCAGTTTCAAGAGACCGCAGGGAAGGGGGGTGTTTTTTTTTTTTTTTTTTAATTGATATGTTTCAATATATTGGTTTTTCAACCTGTATGTTTTGTTAACAATTAAAAAATAATAATAATAAAAAATAAATATATAAATAAATAAACATGAATAATATATATATTCATTATTATATTACATTATTGTTTAATATTACTCCTTTCCCTTCAGCCTTAGTAACATCTAAAAGTGATAATGTTCCCATTTTTATATATTAGTACTGACCGCAGGTAAATGACTCCCCACATGTATGTGCGAAACCACATGGCGGTGCCAGCGTTGGCCTGGTATTTCCTGATGAGGATGGGGTGAGGGACAGGCAACAGACCCACCAGAGTGCCATGCTGGAGGAACTTTAGGATCTCCGATTCATCGGTCAGACCTCTGAAACAGCAGCAGAGAAACCTCTTTCACAGCAGAAGATAAAAACTACAAGCAAATATCAAAGTCAGATAGCTCTCCTCTTACTTATCAATGCAGATCTTCTCCACTTGTGGCACCAGAACCTGCAGCAGACGCATGATGGTCTGCAGAGGGAGTTTGCTCTTCCAGGACAGCACCTGCAAATTATGTTCGAAAAGTTTGTTTTGATCTTTAAATGTTTGATCATTTTTTCTTTGATCATTTCTTTTGTTCTTTTGTTTTGTTTTGTAAATGATTTTGTTTTTGTTTTGTTTTGTTCTTCTTTTACCATCTCCTATTTTGAACGTTTGTTTGTTTCTTTCTTTCTTTAAATGTTTGCCTGTTTGACTCTTGAAAATTTGACTGTTGTGATATTTGAACGTTCATTTGATAACATGTGTTAGCTTTTTCTTTGAACATTTGTTTTATTTTTTGAATGATTGTTTGTTTGTTTGGCTTATTCTTTGGTTTGTTCCAATGTTTGTTTGGTTTATTCTTTGAAAATTTGTCTGTTTTGATCTTTAATTGTTAATTTGTTAGATTGTTTTAATATTTGTTAGTTTTATCTCTGAATGTTTGATAGTTTTGTTCTTTGAACATTTTTTTGTTGCTGTTTTGTTTTTATTTTGTTTTGTTCCTTTAATTGTTCTTGTTAGTTTTAATTTTTCAATATTTGCTAAAAAAAAGCTCACACGTTCAATGTGTTTGTTTTGATCCATCTATTCTTTAAATGTTTGATAGTTTAGTTTTTGATCGTTTTTTTGTTCTTTGAACATTTGTTTTGTTTTTTAAAGTTTTTTTTGTTGTTGTTCTTTAGATGTTTGTTTGGTTCCAAGAATATTGGTTGTTCTGTAACCATCTCCTATTTTGAAAGTTTATTTGTTTTGTTCTTTGAACGTTTGTTTCTTTCTTTCTTTCTTTCTTTGAATGTTTGCCTGTTTGACTCTTGAAGATTTGTCTGTTGTGATCTTTGAACGTTCATTTGATAACAAGTGTTAGTTTTTTCTTTGAACATGTGTTTTGTTTTTTGAATGATTGTTTGTTTGTTTGGCTTATTCTTTGGTTTGTTCGAATGTTTGTTTGGTTTATTCTTTGAATATTTGTCTGTTTTGATCTTTGAATGTTCATTTGTTAGATTTTTTAACATTTGTTAGTCTTGATCTCTAAGGGCTCTATTTTGACGGTCCATGCGCAGAGCACAAAACGCAGGGCGCAAACACTTTCAGGGCGTGTCAGGGCGCGTTTTTGCTAATTTAAGGACAGGAAATCTTCCTTGCGCAGTGGCGCATGTTCTAAAAGGGTTGAGTTTATTTTCTAAATGAGTTATAGGTGTGTTTTGAGAATAAACCAATTAGAATCTCATCTCCCATTACCTTTAAGAGCAGCTGCGTTGCGCCAAGAGCGCATTCGCTATTTACAGGACGCAAAGTAAGTCTAAGTGGAAAAAAATGAGCATTTCACAAGCAAACAGTTCACAGTTTTTTAACAGAAAACTGTTAAACAGAGCATCTACTGCGTGAGAATGAGAGATAATGGAGCTACTTTCACATTCGCTCTTGGATAGGGAAACCTTTACGCACAGACATCAATTAGTCTATAATTAAATACTTTCGTTTATTAAGCGCAAATATTCATTTCAAAACTATTTCTAAATTCAGTTCTAATTTCCAGCAAACGAATAAATGAACAATAATAACAAAATGTGCTCAAAAACATGAGTTATATCCTAAAACACATGCTGTGCCCCTTATGGTCTAAAACCTGACAGGTGAACAAATCTAAGCTTGTTTTTAATAAAACAAATATAAATATGGATATATTAAATAATACTGCTAATAATAATAACATTATACAAAAGCAAATTGTTATGAATGAACTGAAAAAGCCTCCCGAGATGAAGAAGACATAAAAGCAGTGATTTTTCATATTTATGTAGGCTAGAAAATAATATGTTTTGTAATATTTTAATCCTTTATATTTATATTCTATATCTATTCTTATTATATCATATATATATCCTTAATATTTAAATTTTTTTCATATGTAAAGATATTTGCCTATTGCTCTCTTGTGCGTATTAAGCAGTGCGTAAGCGAGGCGCAACTCTGCGCCGGAGTTTAGACCGGGTTAGTTTTGGTCTAATGAAAAATCTATTATAGTTTCTCAAAATAGCAACGCGCCAGCGGTCCGCCTCAGAACGCCTTCCTTTTTAGACCAGAACGCCTATGGGCGCACAAATGAGCGCTAATGCATTTGCTATTTAAACAGCGTAGCGCAACGCCTCAAAACGACTCTTGCGCCAAGCTGAAACTACCAAAAGACTATTGCGCCACGCCTTGCGCCACACTGCTCCGCGTGTATGATAGGGCTCTAAATGTTTGAAGTTTTGTTCTTTGAACATTTCTTTTGTTGCTGTTATGTTTTTATTTTGTTTTGTTCCTTTAATTGTTCTTCTGTTCTTTGATTATTTGTTAGCTTTTTCTCTGACCGTTACTTTTGTTTTTTGAATACTTGCTTAGTTGTGTTTTGTGGACGTTTGTTGTTTTGTTCTTTAAAATCTCTTTTTATGAAAGTTTGTTTTGTTCTTTTAAGATTTGTTAGTTTTGTTCTTTAAAATGTTTGTTTGGTGAGTTCTGTTAAGATTTGTCTGTTTTGATCTTTAAACATTTTTTTGTTTGCTTTTGATGGTAATTTGTTAGTTTTGATTTTTAAATATTTGCTAAATAAGCTCACAAGTTCAATGTGTTTGTTTTGATCCATCTATTCTTTGAATGTTTGATAGTTTTGTTCTTTGATTGTTTCTTTTGTTTTTTGAACATTTGTTTTGTTTTTTGAATGTTGCTTTTTTTTTCTTTCGATGTTTGTTGTTTGGTTCTTAAAATGTTAGTTTGGTTCTTTAACCATCTCTTATTTTTTAAAAGTTTGTTTGTTTTGTTGTTTTAACATACGTTAGTTTTGTTCTTTTAACATTTTGTTAGTTTTGTTGATTGGTTTTTAGAAGGTACATTTTTTCTTTAAACATCTCGTTTAAAAAAGTTTGTTTGTTTCTTTAGTTTTGTTCTTTGAATGTGTCTGCTTCTTTCTTTCTTTCTTTTTTGAATGTTTGGTTTTTTGAATATCTGTCTGTTTTAATCTTTAAACTTTTATGTTATGTATTATTATTATTACTTTTATGTTATGTTTCTTAGATTTTTTAAAATGTTTGTTAGTATTGTTCTTTGAATGATTGTTTAGTTTTGTTACCATTTGCTAGATTTGTTTTAATATGTTTTTTTTTTCTTTCTTTGAATGAATTGTTTGTTTGGTTCTTTGAACTTTTTTCCATTTAGTTCTTTGAACATTTGTTAGTTTTTATTCTTTATACGTTTCTTTTTGTCTAAAAGCTTGTTTGTTTAGTTCTTCTAACATTTGTTAGTTTGGTTCTCTGAATGTTTGCTTTGTTTTTTGCATGTTGTTTATTTCTTTAAATGTTTGTTTTCTTGATTTAACATCTGCTTGAAGATTTGTTTGTTTTGTTCTTCGAAAATTTGCCAGTTTTGTTCTTTGAATGCTTATTTGTTAGATTTGTTTGAACAGTTGTTAGTTTTGTGAATTCAATTTGAATTCCCTCTGTACTGAGAACAGCTCCAATGGCTTTAAAGAGATCTCAAAACCCGAAAATTCTGTCATCATTTACTTAACCTTTACTCGTTTCAAACCTTAATGAGTTTCTTCTGTTACACACACACACACACACACACACACACACACACACACACACACACACACACACACACACACACACGCACACACACGCACACACACACACACGCACACACGCACACACGCACACACGCACACACGCACACAGTTTGGTAAAAAGCTGGAACTCTGTTAGCATTGAGTTCTACAGTATTGGTTTTTCCTATTATGAAAGTCAATGGTTCCATCTTGCTTCAAAATATCATCTTTTATGTTGGACAGAAGACAAAAAAAAAGTTTTTTATCTTCTTTAAGAGTGTATATGCATTATATATAATGAACATCTTAAAATGTAATCTATTGTATTATAATTTTGTCAACTTATATTCATGTTTTTTCCAACCTTGAATTGACAAAACATTGATAAAAATATAAAAACTCTAAATTAGCTACAATTATAACATAAATAATATAAAACAGGTCCCAATACTGTAGTAAAACTGGACTTTGAAGGACTTAAAATGCAGCATTTACTCGCCCTCATGTTGTCCCAAACCCTTATGCTTATTTTTCCACGAAACACAAACGGAAAAATTTTGAAGAATAATTTAGTTTTCCTTTTGTATTCTTTGCAACATGCGGGTTTACAAGGATGTGGGCCAGTAAATCAAATCAGGGTTTTCACTCGAAGCCAAATGTCAAATTCCCTGGCTTCTCCCTGACTTTTCACTGACTAAAAAATTGAACTTGTTTTGTCCTTTAATGTTGTGTTTATTTATTTATTTAGATGTACCACTTAAATGTTGTTTGTTCTTTGAACATTTCTTGGTTTTGCTCTTTGAACACTTGTTAGATTTTTCTTTAATTATTTCTTCTGTTTTTTTTTGGATGTTTGTTTTATTCTATGAACATTTGTTAGTTTTGTACTTTGAATAATTCTTTAGATCTTTGAATATTTGTTTGTTTTGTTTTTTGGATGTTTGTTTGTTTGTTTTGTTTTTTTAACATGCATTTGTTTTGTTCTTTGGATGTTTTTTTGGTTCTTTAAACATTTATTTATTTTGTTCTTTAAACCTTTGTTTTTAACATTTGTTTAGTTTTTGGATGTTTGTTTTGCTCTTTGAAGTTAAAGCTTGAAGTTGAAGTTTGACGTTTTATTATAGGTATTTGTTCTTTCACCATTTGTTAGTTTGGTTCTTTGAATGTGTGTTTGTTATATCTTGTGGATGTTTGTTTTTTTTTAAATGTTTGTTTGTTTGTTTGTTTGAACATCTTTTTGTATGATTCTTTAAAAAGTTTGTTAGTTTTGTTCTTTGCACATTTATTTGTTTATTTTTAACTAGAGTTAGGTTTGCTCTTTGATTGTCTCTTTTGATTTTTGATCAAAATTTCCTTCGAACATTTCTTTGTTTGGGTCTTTAAACATTAGTGTGTATTGTTATTTGTAACGTTTGTTTGATTTGTTAATTTTTCTCCTTCAAGGTTTCTTTTGTTCTTTAAATGTTTTTTTGCTTTTTCTTTAAACCTTTGTTTTTTTAACGTTTATTTTTTTCCCCTTTAAATGTTTGTTTTGCTCTTTGAACATTTCTTAGATTCGTAGTTGAATTGTTTCCTTTTTTAAAGTTTGTTTTGTTCTTTCACCATTTTGTTAGATTTGTACTTTAAATGTTTGGTTATGTATTTTGGATGTTTGTTTCTTTGAATGTTTGTTTGGTTGTTCAAAGTTCAGTTTGTTTTTTAACATTTATTTGTTATATTATTTGAACGTTTGTTGGTTTTATTCTTTGAAAATGTGTTTTGTTTTGCACATTTTTTTTTAACTAGAATTAGGTTTGTTAGTTTTTTTTTAGCTTTTCTTCTTTGGACATTTCTTTGTTTTGGTCTTTACACATTTGTTTTTATTATTTATAACATTTGTTAGATTTTTTTAGATGATGTTCTAATGTTAGACATTTATTTATTTTTAACTAGAGTTAGGTTTGCTCTTTGACTGATTCTTTTCATTTTTGAACAATTTTTTCTTTGAACATTTCTTTGTTTGGGTCTTTAAACATTAGTTTGTACTGTTATTTGTAACGTTTATTTGATTTGTAAATTTTTCTCCTTCAAGGTTTCTTTTGTTCTTTGAATGTTTGTTTTGCTCTTTGAATGTTTGTTCGCTTTTTCTTTAAACTTTTGTTTTTTTTAACATTTTTTTTTCCTTTGGGTGTTTGTTTTGCTCTGAACATTTCTAAGATTCGTTCTTGAATTGTTTCCTTTCTTAAGGTTTGTTTTGTTCTTTCACCATTTGTTAGTTTTGTACTTTAAATATTTGTTTGTTATGTTTTTTTGGATGTTTGTTTCTTTGAATGTTTGTTTGGTTCTTTGAAGTTCAGTTTGTTTTTTAACATTTATTTGTTATATTATTTGAATGTTTGTTAGTTTTATTCTTTGAAAATGTGTTTTGTTTTTTGCACATTATTTATTTTTTAACCAGAATTAGGTTTGTTTGTTTTTTTGTTTTGTTTTTTTGTTTTTTTTTGAGCTTTTCCTCTTTGGACATTTCTTTGTTTTGGTCTTTACACATTAGTATTTATTATTTATAACATTTGTTAGATTTTTTTTTTTTACATTTGGTATTTTTGCTCCTTTTTAATAGTTTGTTTCTTTTGTTCTTTAAATGTTTGTTTGTCTCTTTGAATGTTTGTTTTGCATTTTGAATGTTTGTTTTGCTCTTGGAATGTTTTTTTTTTTTTTTGGAATGAAGAAAAAGCATCTTCTTACCCAGTCTGGTTTAGGGTTCCAGTGGCAGACAGATGATGAGGAGCTGGACAGACGTCTCCTCCTCTCCATCTCTGCCTCAGTGTAGAAGACATCCTGAAGAGAGTCATATGTGTAATCAGCGTCACGTGGACAGCGAGCACTGAACGTGTCTGTGTCTTTTCCTCTGACCTCACTGTCTCTTCCGGAGATGGACTCTGTGTCACTGGCTCCGGCTTCAGCATTGCCGTGCTCAGGGCTCTGTGGAGATTCAGCCACTGCCACCATCGTGCCATCTTCAGAAACCTGCGACTTCTCCGTCAGCTTATCGATGCCTAAAGACAGTGAATCTGTCTCAGGTCAAGTGCCACAATACACAATTCCACTGGATACAATTGTGAACATACCCTTTACTTTTTATCTCTAGCGACCCTAAAAGTTAGGCTTTGGGTAAGAAATAAAACTTTTAAATGTAAAAACATATTGTTTTTGATTATTATTTTTATATCACGTATGACCAGGTTAGTTTAAGTACCGTTCACACTTGTGACCGACAGTATAGCACATGGTTTCAGCTTAAAACAACAAAACTGAAATATACTATCCTGTATCCCATGTAAAAACCTAATTTAACCAACATGATATCAAAACAGGCACAATGTTTAGGTGGTAGGAAGGTGTAAAGTGTAAAATGTATGTACTTAAATTTGAGATTGACAAGTCAGTTCTAAAATTAGCATGGGAATTTTTTGATTAAAAACATTTCACATCATTTTATATATATATATATATTAAAGTCTAACATATTTAAATAAATGTTGCTATAGTGCTTATAGTTATGTATTCCATGGTCTGTTGAAATTCCTGATTCTGATTTGACTGGAAGGTATGCAATAAAACGGTTTCATCAACAGGTAGAGACTGAGTTTTGATCCATACTAGTAGATTTAAAATACTCTTAACATCTAGTAACTTCATTCATCTGTGTAATATTGAGGACACCAGGTAGCTGATAAGGATTAACCAACTTTAAGCAAAATAATCTTTAAAATACTTGCATAATTTAAATGAGCTATTAGATATTCCTGTGTCATTTACATGAACACGTCATAATCTCTCTCTTATGCGATCTTTCTCTGTCTCAGTGTGGGGACTAGGAAATCTAACATGTCATAACTGTCAAAAATTTCATTATTATTACACTGCAAATATTAAAATTAGCTTTAACTTGCCCTTAAATGTCCAAGGAAAACGTTGGATAATCAATGGCTTGCAGTGTGTTTAAGGATTTTAATGCATTTCGCTCCAGGCAGTTGTTTGCCTTTGCGTCATGCCTGACAATACATATATCTTATAATTTGCATCTCCCGAGACACAAATTAGGGTATATGATATTTCCCAAATTAGGGTACAAGTATTAAGGCAGTATTGTTATGATGAGATTATGATGTCTTCACACTAAAAGGGGATGAAGCATCGAGTGATTTACATGTTAAGTCAATGCAAAAATGAGAACAGATATCCTACGGCGATATTCGCACGAATGAGGCAGCACGAATGATGCGATTCACACAAATGAAGCATCGTAAATTTAGCGTTTTGCGTGTTTGACATGCTTAATGCTTGAATTGCTCGAGTTGGAAACTCTGAACTTTAATGCAGCATTAACCAATTAGGAGCTTGCTCTTGTAGGGGCTTGATTATGACGTAGTGCCTGTGGTTGGGATCCCGAGGGGAAATCCTCTTGCCGACACCAGACAACAGCTCATCAAATCGGGCTGGGCTCAGTGTGAAGCACCACTGAATATAGTTTCTGGAGGAGTTGATGAACTTACAGAGCTGGGGGCACCTTTGAAAGGATCTAGTGGACTTAGACATGGCGTCGAATAAATCTACACGGTTTTTCATCCTTCCTAAAGCACAGCTATACTCTCTCAGTAAAAATCTATTTTAGCCATTTAGCAATGAAATTAGAGCCACAGGGCAGACCGAAGCCTTACCCATGATGCCAATCGCATCTTTTGTGAAGTGAATTTGATGCGCGAATGAAGCGAGTACACTCAAAATGTTCACGCAATTTATTCACACAAGTGACGTCAGGTTTGAATGCCCCACAAGTAATTTCTCACTGTTGCTCAAACTCAAGCACTTGAGATCCACTGTCCTGCAGGGTTTTCATCCCCAAATCCATCATGTTACATCATTTATGTTACATGTTTTGTAGGTAATCCTGTAGATTTTGATTATATATTTGGCTGTGTTTAATTGGGGTTAGAGTTAAAAGGATAGTTCACCAAAAATTGTAAATTCTGTCATCATTTACTCATCCTCCACTTGTTCTGAATCTGCTATTTCTTCTCTTGAACACAAAGGAAGATACACTGAAGAATGCTAGAAAAACAGCCATTGACTTTCATAGCATTTTCGCTCCTACTATTGATATCAATGGCTGCTTGTTTTACAATACTCTTCAGAGTATCTCAAGATAGAAATTGAAATATAGAGCACAAGTAAATAGTCAAAGAAAAAAATACAGTTTTAGTGGTAAACTGTCCCTTTTAATGGTCAATATCTGGCAGGTGAATGGATTTACCAGGCATAGCCACCAGACTGGCCTTCAGTGTGCCGGGTTCAGCAGGTACAGCAGGTCGGGAACCCTCCATGGACACGGTCTCCTGTGAGCTGGTGCGAGAGATGGCGTCAGGAGATTTCCTCTTCCTCTGGAGGGCCTTCTGAATGGTGGCGGGGTCTGACGGCAGGTTCGCCAGCTGATGGAAGACATTTCGCTTCCGGATGATGGCGTAGACCAGATTGCAGTTACCTGAGCAAAACACAAGCAGAGTTAGAAAGAGGACTGAAGCTTATTGCAAAAAAAAAACTAAGAGAAATTTGTGCCATGAAAGTATATGTGTGCGCAGGCTGATAGGTCACCTAATCTGCTCCTGCGTCATTAACTACAAGGCGCAGGATATTGGTCGCTGTCACCTTGGCAGCCAATGAGCTTGCTCCTCATTAGTTTAAATGCTCAGCGTCATTCTACACTGTTAAGCTGAGGTGTGTTTTCAGAGACCCTCCTCCACCCCACGCTCCACCTGTATTTAGATCTGCCATGTGGGATTATATGCAGGGCTTTACATTAACACCCGCCAACAAATGCAGGTAGATTTCGGTCGTGGCGGATCAGACAGACACTCCAACTAGCCACTTTGACCGGTTGAAAATAATTTTCCCAGATAATAATTCTTAAAAGCAGGGTTTGACAATAAAGATGCATACACAGGCGATCTTAGAATTGAGAAGCAACACGACTGACAAAAATAATTGCATTCGCAACTTTGCGCGAGCAAAGCAGGTGAATACCGAATGAGAGAATGATCACTCGTGCTAACAGCTGAGGTGATGCGCGCAATATATTAAAACATGTGCGCGCTCCTGTTTCCTTTTGTGAAGTACCTGTGTCTAGAAACACAACTGATGCGATCGATTCTCTTTCAAATAAACTGGACAAAAAGGGAGGAACATGCAACTACAGGCTACAGTCTTGCTGCTTTCAAGAGTTCCAGAGTTGACTTATTGTAAGCCAGTTGCTTTCTCTTTAACCATTATTTGAACAGATTATTTATGGGTCTATCATTAACCATGTGTGTGATCATACTTTTATTATCACACAGTATGTTTTTACCTGCTTTCTTTTGCATTCATTTGGTTTAATTATCATTTATACAATAACATTGCTTTAATGGGAGATTAACTCCCCATTTATACAGTTGAAGTCAGAATTATTAGCCCCCTTTTGATTTTTTTTCTTTTTTAAATATTTCCCAAATGATGTTTGACAGAGCAGGGAAATTTTCACAGTATGTCTGATAATATTTTTTCTTCTAGAAAAAGTTTTATTTGTTTTATTTCGGCTAGAATAAAAGCAGTTTGGAATTTTTTAAAAACTATTTTTGGGACAAAATTATTAGCCCCTTTAAGCTATTTTTTTTTCGATAGTCTACAGAACAACCATCATTATAGAATAACTTGCTTAATTACCCTAACCTGCCTAGTTCACCTTATTAACCTAGTTAAGCCTTTAAATGTCACTTTAAGCTGTATAGAAGTGTCTTGAAAAATATCAAGTTAAATATTATTTACTGTCATCATGGCAAAGATAAAATAAATCAGTTATAAGAAATAGGTTTTTAAAACTATTATGCTTAGAAATGTGCTGAAACAATCTTCCCTCCATTAAACAGAAATTCGAGAAAAAAATAAACAGGGGCGCTAATAATTCAGGGGGGCTAATAATTCTGACTTCAACTGTATGTAGTTAACTGGTGATCTGACAACTTTAGCCAGGACATATGACTGTGCATATGTTTTGTTAAATGAAAAGTTTAGTATTCAGCTATATTTTGCTTGTTTTGACACGTTTAAATTTTGAGGCTAAGAAATAATTGACTCTTTATTATTGGTGTGGTCAGGGATTAATTGGGTAAATCCTTCATTTTGGGCTCTGAAAATTATAACAACTAATTGTAATATATGAAACCCTGACCCATTAGCTCATAATTATTGAGCAAGCTCATACACGACACACAAATAGTGAAATGAATGAGGAGGCATGTAGAGATAACGCTAACTCTAAATCAAGAAATTTTAGCATGTCAAAGTCATATTTATGTGTATAAAATATATTTTCCTAACAATAAAATTGTGGCTAGTGAGCATGGCGAGTGTCTAGTAATGTTAGAAAAATACTAGCCACAGTGGCTGGTGATCAAAAAAGTTAATGTCAAGCCCTGGTTATATGTATAATATGTTAGCAGCAGCAAACATTCTCAGAAGACATGTCTGTCTATATACTAGCAGTAGCAGGTCTCGATACTTGCTCTGCCATAATAATCGAAACAGCAGCAGCAGCGTAGCAGGTCTATACCGCCAAAACCAAATGCATCAACATTGCTATATACATATTCATTGCATACTAAATCCTAAGAGTGTTCTTGACAGAAACATGGACAAAAATGCCTCCTAAATTAAAAATGAATTGCCAGATTCGCGGCTTACTTAATATATTAAGCCAAATACATTTAGATCTGCACAAGTTGCTTTAAAGTTGCTTCTTTGTACGTTTTGTACAGCATTACAAACTACTCCCACGAGCTTATGGTGGCAATAACTCATCAAAGGTGATTAGACACTGCTGAAAATGACCCAGTTCTGCACTCCTGCAAGTTCTCTCATAAACATTCAAATATAAGTGCAGATTTAGTACAAAGACTTGCTTTTCAGCCAGTAATTCAGTCATCATAAATGTAGTTTTTGTGCAAGTCCAGGACTAAACTGAAGACATTAACTGCTTTGGTACGAGAAACGAGGATCAAAAAGAGCTTTATTGGCAGGTACGTTTACAAAGGGCTCGAAATTGTGACCATTTTGGTCACATTTGCGCCCAAAATTTTATCTCTGCAACCTCAAAATATACTTGGGAGCATTTGTGCGAGTGCATAAAATTGTTGTGTGCGACCAGTTTTTACTGTGACATGTTCACCATATGCGCATATTTAGGAGACATTCACACAGAATTCGTCTTTGCACTTGAAACGCGAAACGCAGTGCTCGGGAATGGTTTGTCATGTCGACTTGCTGCAGTAAGCAAAGCACAATGCTTGCCCACCTTCGCGCTCTTCCTATTGGCCCAATGCTCTAGAACTGAATGCGAATGGATTGGTTAATATCAGCTGTCAATCACTCAGCCATTGCCTTCTGCCTTGGGATGACAGGGAGAGCTACAAACGTGAAAATGTAAAGTGCTGAAGATGAGAATGAAGATAACAATGACAGATTTTGTTTTAGAAACCATCTAAAGTTACAAATAATGACACATCTTACTGATCATGTGCTGAATGTTAATCCACCATCTACACTTTTCGAAGAGTGGATAAAAGACTACCATTGGCTTCAAGTCAGATATGAAAAGTCTATGATATGGAATTTTCAGGTAACTGTTTGCCACATCTAGATGGAGAGCTTCTGGGCCAGGGCCCGGTTTTTCAAAAGGTTTAATCCAGATAAAATTGATCCGGATTTAGTAATCCTGTTTTTGTGATTCGTGATCACGTAATCCAGCTTACTTTTTTAAGCCAGTTTTTCAAAGCAACATTGGATTGGATCAATCTGATCCGGATAGGAAATTTTTAGGATCACTAAATCTGGATTATCCATCACAATGTAGATGGATAGATAAGCCTATGTAAAGAGCAACATATAACTTTATTTTTATTTGAAATGAAAACAAACACATTTAAAAAAATAAATAAATAAAATAAAAACAATAAAAACCCCACCCCATCCTCTTCCAGCAGTCCGCTCATCTGAGACCTACAACACAAACACTGTACATTGAGGTATTTATAATAAGTTTCAAATATAGATGTAAATAAAAAAAAAAAACACTTAATGTCAAAAATTCCACAATAAGTTCAGACTTCCTCATCTGATGTGGAGAGAGCAGCTTGTCTGATCAAAGCCTTTAGGAGGCGAATCTCAAGTCTGGCCTTGGTTTGCTGCAGTTTGGTCAAAGTCAGTTGTTCCTCTGCTAGATGAAGCTGTGCTTCTGCCCAGTCTTTTTTTTTTTTTGTTATTTAAAATATTTTGCTTTTTTTTTTTTTTTTTTGTTATTCTGTAATCATTGCATGCATTACTAATAAATATTTTAAAAACAAAAATATTTTCCATTGTGATGAATATATATATATATATATATATATATATATATATATATATATATATATATATACACACACACACACACACACACACACACACACACACACACACACACACACACACACACACACACACACACACACACATGTGGTACAGGTTGGGTAGGCTTGGGTAGGCTAAATTGGGTAGGCTAAATTGTCCGTAGTGTATGTGTGTGTGTGTGTGGATGTTTCCCAGAGATGGGTTGCAGCTGGAAGGGCATCCGCTGTGTAAAAACTTGCTGGATAGGTTGGCGGTTCATTCGGCTGTGGCGACCCCGGATTAATAAAGGGACTAAGCTGACAAGAAAATGAATGAATGAACATATGGAGCATATTTATTATCACTTGACAGTAACGGAGGAACGCCGTCAAATTTAGAGGACTAAGAGTAATGATTTTCCTCTTAATAATTTACTTGAGTAAAAGTACACATCTTTAAATGTACTCAAAAATTACTCAATCATTTTACTCAAGTAAATGTAACGAAGTAAATGTAACTCGTTACTACCCACCTCTGGATGCAATGTAACTTCAATTCAACAAACGGACCATCAAAATAAAGTGTGACCATATTTTTTGGCTATTATGTTACCTGTTAAAGTGATTTTTTTTTACAGCTAACTGTGATAGTACCATATACTATGATAAAAGCTCCAGCAAATTAATCACAAGAAGAACTGATACCAGCAGCAGCCTAATGACGAGTATCAACAGTGTCTAGGTTTGCACAGGACTTTACAGGATTCATATTTCGACATGTTGTTGTGTCAGAAAAAAAAACAGAGGTGGCGTTTTCCTCCTTTCGTGTGGTCAGAGATTAAATGGTTTTTTCAGTCAGGGTGAGGCCACTTTCATCCTTTATTTGAAATGGAGTGATCAGGATAAAATATATATATATATATATAAAAAAACCTCTTCTCAGATTGGTTTATGTGTCAGAGTGGGGATGACTGGATTTGCCTCTTTTGTGCCCTTGTTTAGTGTCTCCATACCTGAAGAGTCTGTCCATGGTTGCGGCCAACAAGCTCCTGCATCTCCTAGAGGCTTTCTCCACCAACTGGTT